TTTCATCAATGTCGTTTATTTGCTGGTGTGAGTTTGTCTGTTTTTGTTTTCATACTCATTTGCCATATTTTTTTTATTCGTATTTTTGGTTGCGGCTGCCTTTTTAAACAAATTTTATCGTTATTATTTTAATGGTATTGTTTGTTTGGTCTTCGGTGTGTAATAGCGTCACCAACGCTATATCATTGCTGTCTTGGCTTTCTTCTTGTTGCAAATATCTAATTTTCACCAGCATTTTGGCCCTTTGCAACGATTTCTCTTCCAATGTAACTCTTTTTTTTCTGGTCGATTTTTATTCCATTTCCTTTCAATGTTTCACATTTCACATCGGTGGCTCTATTGGAAATTCTTATTTGTAGAAAACACTTTTTGCTGGACATTTTTTGCTGTTGTTTTTGTCGTTGTTTTCTTTTGTAGAATATATACCGGTGAAATGAACATGGTATACATTTAAATTACCGAAAAAAAACTGAATAAAAAAATGGTTGCATTTCAATTTTGGTGCTTATAGTGTTTGGGCCTATACACACACCAGACATCGCATATATTGTGTTCGCGATATCGATTGAGCACGCAAATCACATTCATTTGTCGTTGGTCGTCTCACTGTTGATTCCACACTTTTTTTATACTCCTTTTCTCTCTCTCTCTCTCGCTCTCTTTGCCTCTTTCTCTTTCTACTTCATTTGGTTCGATTCAAGTTTTCAAACATTTTCGTTAATAAACTTGCTAAGCTGCGGTTTTGTTTGCTGATTTGACTTTTTATCATATTCGATTGCACTCCATGATCTGTTGGCCAAAAGAAAGGTGAAAAAGAAAGCCATTTCAAATAAAAAGAACGATATTTTTTGCTTCTCTCCAACGACTTGCTTGCATTGCATCAAATGAATACAAGAAAGACACGAAGAAGAAAGAAAGAAAAAAATGATGGAAAAACTCGTTTTGGTAGTTGAGTTTTGTTTACTGATGTTGTTACTGAAATAAATTTTCTTCAGTTTTCGACTTTGTTTTGACTTTATTTCATCTCTCTTGTTGTTGTTGCTGTTACTACTCTATCTTTATACTCTCTTCATTTGTTTCGCGATTCGCATTGGTTGACGTTCTCATCATTGTGTTACATTTAACCCGAGAAGATAATGATACCCAATGCCAATGTAATCAAAAAAAAAAAAAATTGTATGCGTCGCATAAATTGAAACACACGCAAATATAATAAGAAGCAATCATCGTTTCTAAATTGAATTTAATTTGTAGGAAAATTTCTCTCGTCGAAATGTGCACAAGCGGTGCAAATACAAAATAATAAATAAAACCGAAGAAGAAGAAGAAGAAAAAACTGACGGAGACGAAAAGTGCACAAATATAAGACACAAACCAGTGGATTCAACCGGCGCAAAACCCACATTAGAGATCACTCGATCATAGTAAACATGTGTGCCACCGCATAATTGCTAATCATATTTTGTAAGTGCATTTAGATTCTCGTACGCCGAATGGTCACAACCAAATCAAATGAAATGCCAAGAAAATAGAAAAAAATCGCACGCAGCGCATAAAAAAGATGAGGGAAAAGACTAGAAAAAACAAAAAAAAAAAAGAACAATATGGCAAAATGGTTGATGGTTAGCCGACGACTTGGCATGCTTTATTCAAAAAACAAGTAATAGAAATATAAAATCTCGTTCCGATGTGTTGAACACACATGTTTCTTCTTTTCGTTTTTATTTAATTCTTTTACATCTCATGTTTCTGTGTTTGGCTGCTTACTTAAAATTGTCTCTCGAAGAAAAATGGAGTATTGTATGCTGCTGAACCGAAACTGTGTGTATGTGTCACTGTGTTTGGCCATGTCATTAATTTGTGATAATCAAACGCAAACCTTAATTCCATGTGCCCACTTCAATATGCTAAATTTCTGTTTGGATTTATTTTATCGTCTCTTCAGCGTACAACACAACAGACAATCATTGCCTATCTACATACGGCAGAGCATTTATATTATGGAAAATAAATGTAATTTAGACCAAAAATGTTCAGCCTGAAAATCTTTCTAAAATAGTAAACAATGAAAATACGCAACACGAAAAATAATAAAAACAATACGAATCATATTAAAATGGGAATTAATAAGAATTAAGTAGCTATATGATGATGGTTTTCTGTATGAATTCTTACTTCTACGCAGAGGTAGGATACATATAATACTCCCAGTATACTCGCTCATCACTCTTTACATATATATATACGGCTATATATACTTATGTATGCAGCGTTGATATGATGCGTGTATATTCTCATTGAATCTTAAAATAAAATAACGCGCAATAGTTGAAATATAATGAAGAGCCGACTAATGAAAAATAGCATTTTATCGTCATGATCGTCGTTGAGCGTACACGCTGTTTTGATTGTCGAAATGTTCAGCGAATGAAAAATAAACCAACAAAAATTTATACTAAACACGCCACTTACAGAGTGTATATGCTTTGTCTACCATCCAATCCCAAATGTATGGGGCTTTTTAAAAAAAACTTACGACGCCTGATTCTGTCTGAATATGCAATGTTTTTGCTTTGCAGCCATTCAATTCGATAAACGAATTCGATATGCTTGGAAGCTGATGTGACAGAAGTATGCGGGTTTCCTTCTCTGTATGTCAAATGTGAAATAGCATGCATTACTGAATTATATTCCATATAATAATCCACATTCACAATAAACCGATTCGCATTGTCGCCTGAATTAAAGGTGAGATTTGTAGTTTTTTTTTTAATACAAATAGAATTGAGCAAAACACGACGACCAACAACAAAAAATACTCTCATAACAATATTCATATAACTGTTAAAATCATTGAAGAACAACTCAATGCCTCTGCATACGTGCAGTTAATCATCATCCCCTCGCTCAACTGGTAGACTATACTCTTGAAGTGGAATAATAAAAGAAGAAAAGTGAAGAAGGAAGCTACAATTCAGTATTGTTGTTTTTTTTCTATTTTTCTTATTTGGGTTTATTTTGTTTTTGTTCTTACTTTCATATGGCCAATTCATTATAAATACACACAATGAATGATGATACGGTTAGGGGTACCTGTGATTGTTCATTATTATCAATGCTCATGTATACAGTTAGATATGTATAAATATACGTGCATAGATACAAGTTCAATCCATCAACAATAAATCCGTTGCTTCTTCATCCAAATAAATGAGTGTTCGTTCAACAACGAAAATTTTCCATGACGTAATTTTTGTAATTTGTTGTATGCACTGGAAACTGTTGGTATGCTTCGAAAAGAATATATATCTATATATATATATATATATTAAAATATATGAAGACAGAGAGGGTATACAAGAGGGAGAGCGAGAAGAAGACACACTCGAAAAAACTGGCATTAAAATTGAAATAAGGGAAGAAAGATGGATATTACACATTGCACGGAACAGAAAATGCTAGAGTATCAATATTTGACACAACACACAGTCAGGTTCTGAAAATGTGAAATAGAATGCCACTGAGTTCGTGTATATGAATGAGATATAAAAAAAGATATGACAAAGGTATGCCGCGACGGAGGGACGATGTTGATGATGGTGACGACGGGTAAACGAATACAAAATACATATATTCGTGGCCATTGAATGCGGAGAATCGGATAAAATACAAGAAAAGGAAGAACATTAAGAATGTATCGAATGGCTTGAGTTGGATAGCTTACATGATTCGCTTCATGTATCTTCCCGTCTTATGCTCCTTATGTACCCGAAAAACAGCCGTTTTCTGTTTTTGTTATTGTTTTGTGTTTTGGTTTGTGTGTTTTTTCTCTACTTTACCCATCAAATATTCACAGCCAAAACTGTGTGAGTGTATGTATTTTTGTTCTTGCTCGAATGATTTTTCGGATGGATTTTCGGTGTACATTTGTTGTACTGCCACTGTATTGTAGGAATTGACACATCGCTTACGAATGACGAAGTAAACGTTGCTGTGAACATCCAACAAACACAAACAGATGAAAATGTGCGCACACACGCACACACAATGTATACACGATTACCTAAAAATCGTTCAGTATGTGTTGATATTTAAAATGCGCATTGTTGCAGCTGCCTACGTGACTATGAAAACCATACCATGGTGAATAGAAGCAAAGAGAAACGAACAGAGAAAATAAAAAAGATAACCAAATAACAACAACTAAAATACAGCACACTATAACCGAATAAAATGAAACAATTTACAAAATAAAATGATGTATTTGATGTGAGCATTTCAGTTGCGATGCGAAAACCATATCAAAGAGCTAAACAGATGAAAATGACAAAAAAAGGAATATGCTACATTATTTGCTTCTCATGTCAATTCAATTTTGTCACTTTATTATCTCTCGTTCGCTCTTCATTCGTCCGACTTTACATTTTGGCCAGTTCTCTTTTAATTTCTAGCTATTTAACCAATTTTTCCATTGTGTTTGCGTTCTGCCTGTTGGCTTCTAATACTTGCCATTCACGATTTGACGTGGTGTTATCGTTAAATCAAGTTAAAATAAAATAACACAAAGTGAGTTTGTGTGTGTTTTTCTTTCTATGGAAAAAAATGCTCACCATCAGAATTTATTACAATTATGTCTTTGTACATGTGAACACACGTAGAGCAAAAGCCGTAATATAATACGCAAAAATTTGTTTGTTTTTTTCCTATTCGTTTTTGAAGTGTGCAAATTCGATTCACACAATTGCACACATTCGTCCTGTACGTACAGAAAAATACAAGCGAACGTCATCGTGTATACAATCAATCAAAGTGTAATGTGTATACATTTGGTTGTAATCGCCACATACATATTTGATACAACAACATTTCTGTATAAACGTTAAATATACGTTAGCAAGCAGTGCACGCACACATTCTCACAGCTCAAACTCGACGAACGAACAAAAAAAAATATGGCGATTGAAAATAATTTTCAACGGAGCTACAGTCGGAAACCAACCATTGTAGGGATCGAATGTAAACTATGGAGCGGTAGCTAAATCTGATGAAATTTATCGGCCTTTGTCCGCTATTTTAGGGATTCTTTTTTTTAACATCATTTTTCAAACAAAAAGAATAAAATAAAAAAAATATATGTAAATATATTACACAATATTTGTAACAAGTTTTTGCGCTATAAATGCTATAACAACAAGTCGGTAATATATATTTAAAAAAAAGTAAACAAGTTAAAGTAAAATAATAAAATAAAAAATTTCTCAAAGTAAATTTCTTACGACATTTCGATTCATTCGTAAATAAAAGTAAAACAACAACAAATTTTCACCCGAGTTCAAATCTTATAAAAATCGAATTAATTAATACCATATCCAGTGATGACAGTTTCTTTTTTGTAATTTAAACAAAATAATTAATAACCAAAAGTAATAATAAATTGTGTGTTGTTAATATTTCTATCTAAAAAATTTAAAGAAAGTTAAAGTAAATTTAAAACGGAGCAACAACAACATCATTCAAAACGTCAATGTGAAACAAATGTTCTAAATCATCAATAATAGCAGCAACAACAACAACAACAACAACAACAAAGAAAAGCGATTAATTTTCTCCCGACTTGAATGAAAGTTTATCCCGGTTGATTCTAATTCTAAATGTTTGTTTTTATACCAAAAATCTTTAAATCGTGTTAATGTTTCAAGCGTCGTTTCGCTAAACTCAACGTAAATTTCGTATGCAAAGAAAAAGTGTCATCATCGAAAGGTGAATCTACACAAACACACGCGCACTTACACGAATCAACACATCAGCATTGCTATTGGTATATAGCCGAAATTCGAGAAAACCAACAAAAACTACAGGCCAAAATTCCATTTTCGACGTGTGAAAAAGCCAATTCTTCACAATTTTCTGTTTGCATAAATGCGATTTGTCACATCGACATTTATTCTCATGAACGAATCAACAATTCATTGGCAATAAGCGCAAATTTTCATCATCAACAGCGGCATCATCAGAATAGAATTGAATACCATCATTTTTTGACATACTGGTCTCAGCCACTGGAACAGTACTCGTCATTTGAAAGCCAAAACAAAACAAAAATAATAATAAAAATCAATCGAACTTTTCATTTATCTTCATTTTGGAAATTGTGCAGAAAGCATTGATCCTTACAAAAATTAATTCAATGGTTGATAACTGGTTGGAAGGAAATTAGAGAAGAGAGAGCACGTTGCCAAATTTTCAGTGAAGAGAGTTTAAAGCCATAATACGATCGACGGGCCAAACCAACTCAATTTTTTTTGGACTGTCATTGTGCACACACAAATCAATTAATCAAATCGGAACTATATTTACCAGGAGCAACCAATCACATCCCCGAATGATTATAGTTTATGAAAAAGAAGCGAACAGCATCAGAATTGTAACGCCATTTGGAAGCTAATCATCAAATCGTCTTCATTTTGTTTAATTGCGGCAAATAAACAATCAAAAAAAAAGAAGCCACCACACAGTGGAAAACCAAAACATCATACCATTCGTCAAGAGAAATCAACATTAAAAAAAGAAGAAGCGGAAATCGGAATACACAATTGAACCGACCAAATCAATCCAACAGCAACTGTATTTTTCATTAGATTTTCCTTTTTGTACAAAATGGTGAAACAAATTCTCGAAGAAAATTTAAATGACGCGAATTCGAGTAAGTGTTACGCTTTTCTATTCGAATATTCTCGAAAAAATGTTTATAAGTTTTGAATAATTAGCATTAGATTCTGTTTGTGTGCATTGACACACACATAGAGATAGAGAGAAAAAAAATTGAGAGAGTCATACATTCACTAATATTAGATAAAATACCAAATAGGCAATAGAGTGACGATACTTGGTATAAATGTAGTGGATATTGGTAGATGTCACATAAACCACAAATACATTAAATACTTTAAGTCTATAATTTCCAAAAGTTGAAATGAATGAAATTTAACCAAATAAAACACACACACACACATTCACATCAGAATAAAGTGATGGAAACAAAAATTAAATAAAATAACATAGTTTGATGGAGAGAATAAAAACGTATATCTCAACTACATAAATGCATCAAATGTAAAACAACCACAGCCATTTTCAAACACAGAGATTTGGGTGCTCAATACCAAAACAGAAAGTACAATATAAATGCATACAACCGTTTCGGGAAAACATATGTGGCCTGATCACCACTACCATTACAAATCATTTTTAAAGATGCAATGCGCTCACGCGTTCATATATATTTTCTTTTCCTAGTCGCGACGAGCATCTGTATGTGTGTGACGTTCATTTTTATTTATATGTATGCATGTTGATGTTTCTGTGAGTATTGTACACTAAGCTATATATTTTTTGCACAGTGGTTTTTGCTCTGTATACAGATAAAATGAAATGACTTTTATACAAATCTGTATAAAAATGGCTTTAATTTTATGAGCATTCGTCACATTACGCGAACAACGAGAAGAGAAAAAAAAAACACACACAAACACACTTAATTCTTGACTTTAGGCTGGTCGACGGACTTGCAATGACAATCGAAAAAATTTCGGCTTGAAAAATGTGTAACGACACAACAAAAGAAATAAAACAAACGAACGAAACGAACAAATAACAAGCAAAACAGAAGCAACAACAACAACATCCCAAGTGAACAGGAATGAACAGGCTATTGCTCACTCTCGCACATATTGTCAAGAGAGTGGCGTACGTGAATCGCCGCATATAAACACAGTTGCAAGTATATACAACAAAAATCATACGGTTTTTGTTGTTTTTTTTTCTCTTCATTTTCTTCGATCAGATGGAAGCAATATTTTGATTAGGCCTTGGTGTGCTTGTTGTTGTTGTTGTTGTTGTTGTTGATGATGTGTTCGTGTATTTGTTTCATTTCGTTCAAAACGCGTTTGCTTCTGCTACTTTGGTGATTGTTATTTAGAGAGTCAACTTGAAACAAGCCCATGATTGTATGCATTTTGATATCAATTTTTGTGAGTATTGCGTTGTTATAAAATGATTGTATGCGTCGCGTCGGTGTTTGAGTATACATGATTTTGTCTTCGTTTATTTTTTTGGGGCCGTTCATATTTCTTTTTTCGTTGGGCCTGTTGTTTTTTCATCATTCATTTTGTTCGCCTCTCTTCTTCTCCTTCTAATTCAATGGATTTTTTTTAATGCGAATGAATTTTAATTACTTATGTATCAGCTCAGGCCTTTTAATGTAAAATACATGGGTTTTGTTCGAGCGATAAATAGCTCGTTTACATGAGCAAACATGAACGTTTTTTTTCTTCAATTTCTTTGTTCGCGATTATGTTGTACTGTGAGTACAATCTGAGTGTGTTATTTTTTTTCGTCTTTGTGTTTTCTTATTTTCGACGGAGAAAGAGAAAAAGGCAGCTAAAGGAAAAAAAAACATTTTCTGGTTTGTTGTTTGATGTTTTCTGTATTAGAAAATGCACATGCACCAGGAGCCAAAGTGTGATGGCTGACAAAACTGGTTCATATAAATGAGCTTAACCCTCTACTGCATATGCCTGCCGTTTGGTTGCTTTAGTCAACTATGCGAAATGTGTGTATAGTTTTGGATTAACTTTATTTATATTGACCACCTCACAAATATTGTGTGATGACTTCCCTCCCCCTCTCATGCTTCAATTTCAGGCATCATTTATACAAAGCAAAATTGAAGAGGTGTTAGTGAAAAAAGAGGAAGAGTAAAAAAAACTTGTTCAAGTGATTTCGGTCATAAATTGGCCAAAGGAAGAATGAAAAAATAAAATCGGTATTGTAAAAGATCCATACTTTGGAAGGGTTAAGATGCTATATAGGTGTCTCTTATTCTGTATTGATTGTGTTGCTGTTGTATTATACATAGTTGACAAATTAGGATCGAGGCAGACGAAATAAAAATTGTGACATTATGAGCTGGCGATATATGAATTAAGAAAAGCCATGGTTGTTGCAGCTGCGACAAAAATGTGACGAAATTAAATATTGATTCATAGCACAAAATGCAAACAAGTTGGGAGTGAAGTGAATTTATTTTAAAAATAAAGTGTTGTTGCGCACACACTGAGAAAGAGTGAGAGAGAGAGATAGACGCACACACCACCACTGTCATTTCTTTAGTGAGTCTTGTTTCTTAATGTCGCTTTAATCGAACTATGAGATCAGTTCAGATCGTTGATGAAAAATGAATCTAAAATATCATTGTCTTTTTTCATCATATATTCAATTAAAAAGTAATAAACACAACAAATCGATGCACTTGTCTATGCAGGAACAAAAACTGTACCCGTTCCAAGCGATTCAATCGTACGATGCTAATCTTATGTGTTGTTGTTGATGATGATGTGTTGATTTTTTTTATATTCATTCATTTCCAATCAACACAAGTTTTGCCAAATGGTATGTCTGCATGTCCACATGTATATTGATCGAGATAAAATGGGATCACAGAAGTCAGCGTTACAAATACAATCGGTACAATCACCAATTCAACTCAAATTAAAGACAATATGGCAAACAAAAAAAAAGAAACATTTAAATTTTTTTAAGTTAAGCTCATTATCGCAAATTATATGAATTAATTAATATTTATGCGCACTGAAAAGCAGAACAATATACATTTCTCTTATTTCTCTTTGTTGCTTTTGTTATTCTACTTTTTCTTCACATCGTATGTACGCATACAAATACGAGTACGATCGTCTTGGCAGTTCAGCTTATCGTATATTTGTATTTGACGACGAATGGCAAATAAGAAAGAGAGTTAGATCACAATGAAATAGAATAACATGCAAAATAGTTGATAATATGTATGTAATTACAACTGCAAATAAGCCACGCCTGTTTTCGCACACAATTCCATTCGCACAGCGCTGAAAAGGCATTAAAAAAATGAAAATAAACATCATCAAGCTGTTGAAAGAGACAAAATACAAATACACACAGAAAGAGAGATAATTTAAAGGTAAAAAAGCCAAAAACCAAAATTATATAGAATTATTGAATACATTTGCAGTGTGGAAAAAAACACGTTTCAAATATGTATCATCTCTAGGAGTGAGGTTTGATTTTCAAAAAGATTCGTTTCACGTTTCGCGCGACATGAGCACATGAAATTCGTGTGGCATTTATGGAATCGCTTTTGCGATCGCACAATCTCTATTTCTATGCATCTCACTTGAACAATATAGAGCGGCCAAATACCTTACTCTCCATCTCACCCGCACTTACGCATCGTCATTCAATTTAATTTCAAACCATGCCATACCGTACGTTGATCACATTTCTAATCACATCATCGACATATTTCACACACAGACACACATACACACACACATTTCACGCAAACAGAAACGGTCGCTCGCGTTCACACAAATGACGACGTTCAGCGCGATCATTGTGATTCTTTGCACGCAGCCACACAATTCACACGAATAATGTGCTCGATATTGACTTTTCGACGAGTTTCGAATTATGAAAAAAGAACCATAACTGGAAATCGCTCACTCAAAGAATGCACCCAAGAAAAAGTTATCGAAATAAATTAAAAATAACATACATGAACATACGAACAAACGAACAAAACCATACGAATATATACATACAAATCGAAATTTAAGTTTCGTTTCAATAGCGACTTATTTATAAATATAGCCAAAATCAGTGCAGGAAATATTACGACGCAGCATTCTTAGATTAAAATGCCATTTACAGAATAATCAGTTTAATTATGATTGTTTTTTTTCCACAAAATTTTGAATGTTCCAAAAAAATGCAACAAAATCTTATAGTTATTTCATATTTCATCAATTTTACAGCCACGCACAATGAAATTTCACGCTATTCGAGTGAAGAAATTTCAGGAAATGAGTCGAATGAAGTAACATCTATGACGGAGTCTGAACGACAAGCCGAAATCAATCGCCAGAAGGAAGAAATGAAAATCAAACGTCGCAAAAAGAAGCGAACAAGCTCATCAATGCAATCATCTACATTTAAAGGTAAATTCGATCCCATTTTATATTCGATCGTAATTCAATCAATTATTTCATCCAAGCGTTCAGAAAGACATACATTTATGCGAGCAATTGAATGATGCTTGCATCATTTGATGCGCATCGCGAGTGCTTTCGTTGTGCGCTGCCTAAGATCCAAATGTATGGCGACAGCACAATCGATGCGCATCAAATGATGCAAGCATCATTCAATTGCTCGCATAAATGTATGTCTTTCTGAACGCTTGATTTCATCATCAACATCGCAATGGTTGTCACCGTCATCCGCTGGTGCGACATCTCTCACACACGTTCAATACTCGGAATCAAATGAATCAGGAAGAGAAAAATGGTGTCACATATCACAGAGAGCCTTTAAATAGCCACCACATTGATTCGCTGTAATCATTTGGAAATCGAATAACATTTGGCTAGAGATAACGTCAACAAAGTAAAAATTCACTCGCTCATGCAAATAAATTTTAGCTTTGTTATGACAATAACGATGAAAAACACCAAATTCATATTTAGTGTGTCACATGTGACACTAAAAATTTCGGATATCGTATACGTGTGAGAGAGTGTGAGAGAGAAGGTGATTCTATGGCGTTGAACTTTATTCTAAATCGAAAAAAATGGAACCAACGCGGTTTATTATATTTATATTTTAACGGATCGATGTCGTCAAAGCGCGTGTATCATCGGCACGTACTCGCAATCAAAAACAGTCCATGGTGACAGCTCAATCATCACAGCAATACGGAAATTAGATTAATTTGTCACATTTCACCCAATTCACTCTATTTTTCCTAGTATTTTATGCCACATTTCTTAATCGTTTCTGTTTGTTTTTTTTTCTTCTTCTTTTCTCCGTTCGCTATCTATATATATCTACATGTGTGTGTGCTTTTCTCTTGACGCATGATGCAGAATTGTACAAGCTAACTGGTGATATTTTGGGAGAGGGCGCATATGCTTCCGTTCAAACATGTGTAAATATTTACACAGATTTGGAATATGCCGTGAAAATTATTGACAAAATTCCAGGCCATGCACGTGCCCGTGTTTTTCGCGAAGTGGAAACATTCCACCATTGTCAAGGACATCCTGGCATTCTGCAATTGATCGAATTCTTCGAAGACGAGGATAAATTCTATCTGGTGTTTGAGAAGGTACGGCCGTAATTTGATCATAATTTATTTTCACCGATAGTTTTAACGCATTTCATGTATCTATTGCGTATTTTTGCTTCACACACAAAACAATACGTACGCAAATGCTTATGATGTGTTTTTCTTTTCTTCTTCTTATCTATTTTGGTTTATTATGTTTCAATGAAATGACACAGATCAATGGTGGTCCGTTGCTAACGCGAATTCAAGAGCATGTTCGTTTTTCGGAGCACGAGGCAGCTCAAATTATCAAGGAGATTGCATCGGGTCTTGATTTTCTCCATAAAAAGGGAATTGCTCACCGTGATTTAAAACCGGAAAATATTCTATGTGTCTCAACGGAAAAATTGTGTCCAATTAAAATATGTGATTTTGACTTGGGATCTGGCATCAACTTTACCACGGAATTGTCATCACCGTCAGCTACACCACTACTATTAACACCGGTAAGTTTTTTTTTTTAATTACTAAATTCAACTGTTTATGAGCATATCGATTTTATGGAATTGACTAAACACCGAATTTGTCCGTTATTCAAAAAATAAATAATGACAAATTCGTGTAAATATTCACAAATTTCGTTCTTATATCACTTGTCAAAGTTGGTTAAAGTATAAATTGATCTAGAGCACACAAACCAAAAAAAAAAAAAAAAAACTCAAAGACTTACTAAAAATAATGTGGAAAGTGTGGCAAATGCTTTTGGCTGAATTGCGTTCTCGCGTAATATATGACGTGAAAATGAATAAACCGAAGGAGCTGAAATAAATAAGAATGGGCAAATGGTCGAGAAAAAAAAAACAACAGCAAATAAATTAAAAGGATAGCACAGAAAATATGTTTGCATAAAATCATCAATAGACATACCGACAGCTGTTGCAGTTGCTATTTTTACAACAAAAATAAAATAAACGATGATGAATAAATAATAAATGAGCCATTTTAATAGCGACCACCGAAATGCAGCGCAATTGCAAAAAAAACGGGACGGTAGTAAAAAAGAGACGAATATAATATAAAAAGAGGGAATGAAAGATCTATAACTAAAGTAGTTTGCTGAAGCAGACTTGGGGAGTTAGAAATTGAACCAATAAAAAGAATGTGCGAAGTCAAATTGAAATAGAACAAAAATCTATGCATCACATAGTTAAAAAACAAAAAAAATCGCATTAAATCAAAAGAATTAATGGAAATATTAAAATTGTGTTAGGCAAAAAGCTACCGGAAACCAATAGAAAATGAATGCAAATGAATTTCAAATTCGCATTGTGATGATTTCCCTATTGTTTTTTTTTGTTCCTATTTGTACGTGTGTGTTGTTTGAAGTCGAAAGCGTAAGCAGATGTTGACTTTTTACCGAATGGCACATACAAAATAGAAATTTAATACGTCGTAGATTCCAAGTTCGATGGAATTCGTTGTTACTTCATTTAAAACATAGAAAAGAAACCGATACCGAACCTATAAATACCGATATAGTGGCTTAATCATTATTTGTTTTCCACAAATTGAGAGTTATATAAATAAAATCCTGCGAAATAGGAATAGAATATTGAATTCGCAATATTGCGAAAATGTGTACATGTCCTTGGAAATGACAATCATATACAGGCGTCAGTCAAATGTATAATACACAAATCGGGTGAGACGTATAACCAGATGAAATGATAGTGGCACACGTTAAATTGAATCGAATGCCAGGGCGAAATTGTGTGTGCGTACATTTTTTTTTATTTGCAGTGTGTGATATCACGATCTTTCGTTAGACATTAGACATTTTTTTTTCTACTTTACTTTGTTCATATCAATTGGCCTCAAAAAATTTAACTTAATTGACCGAGTTGATGTAGAGAATGTTGAATAACATATTGAACGAAACAAAAAGGAGATATGTATATGAAGTAACGACAACAGTGTGCCGTATCTTCATTAAACATTTCTATATCAGCGGCAACATTGAGTGAGTGTGTGCCGAAAGTAAAAAACACGTGGTTCACAATTTACGCAGTAGAAAATTTCGCGCAGATATCTGTTTGTTGATATAGTTGTCCTGCTTTGACTTGTAATGCGACCGGTATATGGCACAGAGGCGATTATATAATTTTCTATTTCTCATGTGTCATGCAAGAGAGTTCAGGCATGCGCTTCATTAAAAACAAGAATCTTTCACCGTGTTTCTTTAGGCGATTACATTTTTTTTCCTCAGTTCGTTAATGTTTTTTTTTTGTGCCCATTCACAAATACACGTTGCTTTTGGCAACGCTCGTTTTGCCAAATCAGCGATGGCAAATCCATAAAATAGCAAAATAAATACAATCATCAATTACGATGTTCTATGTAATATGAAATCACAATTTTAGATATCTTATTCTGGTTTCCGATAACATTCAACACTCCATAAATATTAAATGAGACAATGATTGTGTGTATATTTATTCTGGGCAACATTTCTATTCATATCAAATTTTATTCGGCATTTGCTATGTGGTTTCGCTGAAACCATTGTCATTTTCATACTACGCACTATAATTCGCAATGCTTATTCGTGCTCTTTCATTTGGTTTGTTTGTGTGTTGTTGTTTTTTTTTTATTCGATGAGCAAAACAGAAGTAGCAAAATCGGCCGCTATACAATCCAAGCTGAATGCCGGCATTTTAATTTTTATGTAATATTTGTTACGATTCACATGTTTCCCTTATTCTCTCATTGTAATTGCGTCTTTCGAAAAATTCGTTTGGCTAATTCATTCGTATATTCTTGTTGATTCCTTCTTATTCTGTATTTTCGTTTACGCTATTATGACATAACACAATTGGGGAATAAAAAGTGAAAACCATGAAAGAAAAAGAGAAGAAAACAGCGCACGACCAACAACAGCAAGAATAATAATAATAAAAACAACGATGGTGGTGGCAACGACGACGACGACGGCACAGCAGTTTTAGCAATTAACACCAGTACATAAAATGTTTTCGAGACAGGAGTAATCTAGTGATATTATGAAGAAGCCACGAAGAGCAACTTATTGAATCTTATTTCAATTCACATAATACTTTGCTTCCCTGGTTTTGCCATTTTATCTCTATTCTCACTTATCTCAACACTAACTGCGCAATTCTTTTTCGCTCTTCTCTCTATTGCCACAGTTGTCGTGTGTGGCGTCTTCTCTCTCTTCCGCTTATTCTATTTCTAACTGTTGCGGCTCTTGTTTCTTTTTCTTTTTTTTAACGTATGCTGGATGTGCCTTACAATAAAAAAAGCAATATTATTCGTTCTTTTTTTCGCATGTATGAAACGTGTAGATAAATTTGCCATAAAATTAATATGACGACCAATTCTGACCGAACGTTTAATAAAAATACATTTACTATGTTTTGGTAAACGATATACCTATGATCATAATAGTGTACAGCATTTCGACAATCGGCTTTTTGGTTCTGAGAATAATATCGACGTGTTGGTCTCATTTCGAAATGAAATCGAATATTGTTGTTTACGCTCGGTATTTTTTTTTTTTTTTGTTAAAACGCAAAACATGAATTGACCAAATGACTAATTATACTCCGAATTCAATTGATTATTTCATGATTTATTAAATAATTTCCATTGGTTGTTTGTTTCTGCGCATAAAACTAAGTGCGGAACCACCACGTGATTACCATAGCAATCGCTCAACGATAGTGAAATCGCAAATCCGATTAAAATTTGCTTACCATATACACAAACACACCCACAAAATTGTGATGTGCGATTTTAATAAAGAAAACGTCGCAATTGAAATGGCATAATATTTTGGGGTATTTTACAATGTATTTGCACAATGCTACATTCGTTGTTTATAATTTGCAAGGTTATCACAATTAATAGTGATAAGTGATAACAGAGACAAACTAAAAAAAAAAACAACTTCAACCAAAGAAAAAAAAATGTTCAAAACAATTGAACCATCTCATTCTGACTCATAAATTTAAAGAGATCAAAGACCAAAACTCTTTATGGCAAAAAATAAAACAATTTGTTTTTTTTTTTGGCAATATGAAATAAACATGAGCCTTTATTTAGGTTCATACATTATTCCCTCCAAATTATTTGTGAGACCAAAAAAAAAGATATAAAAGCATTCAATTACTGTATAATTAAAAATTCATATTTAAGAATTGTGTGGAGAAAGATGGAAATAGATTTGTTCCATAAATTTCATTTGTTTCACGATGTATTGTTCTCACGTAATTCGAGAGAGAGAGAGAGAGAGAGAGAGAAAACAAATTTTATGGCAAAGGAGAAAAGAGTCAATTCCATATTTCGTGTGTACCTTTTTTTGTGTAGTAATACTTCATTATCTTATTCTGGACAAGCATTTAATGTGTACATGTTTTTTTTTCGTTCTTTTTTCTTCGTTTCGTTGTTTAATTGTCGTGATCTTTGATAGGTCGGCAGTGCCGAGTTCATGGCACCAGAAGTAGTGACGTTGTTTGAAGGTGAAGCCAATTACTATGATAAGCGATGCGATCTATGGTCATTGGGTGTCATAGCCTACATCCTACTCTGTGGCTATCCTCCTTTTTCGGGTAATTGTGAAGAAGACTGTGGTTGGAACCGTGGCGAGAACTGTAAAAATTGCCAAAAATTGCTATTCGAATCAATTCAAGAAGGTAAGATAATTCGTTTACTTTCAAATCTGATGCAATCACCGCCAACTGTTTCACCGCCAATAAAAAAATGATTAACTGGATTTTTTGTCTGTGTCTCTTTCATCACACGAATAACAAAAAACAGGTCGATTCAGTTTTCCAGATAGTGAATGGGCAGACGTAAGCAATGAAGCAAAAGATTTGATAAGAGGCCTTCTAGTGAAGAATGCCCCAAAACGATTGAGCGCAGAAGCTGTGCTACATCATCCATGGATCAAAATGGCCGAAAGCGAAAATGCCGATAAAATGATGATGGAGCGGCGACATAGAGCATTGAAAACACCGGGTATTATTAGACGGTAAGTAACAAGATTACCACCTATTTAGTGATAATTAAATTTAAATGAATTGTTGCCGTCATCGATGCATTTATTGTTGCATTGCGGTGTTACATTTAATCATATATGCTTATGTGATACCATTATCCTGTATTTCCATTTCAAATTGGATTCTTTTCTAATCACATATTTATATATTCGACTTTGTCTTTTTTTTTTCTTTTTTTTCCATTTTCGCTTGTCACATTAAATGACATGATTGCATGAACAGTAACCAATCGGCACGTGAATTGAGTCACTTTGCCGAATCTGCAATGGCTGTGAAACGTGTAATAATGCAGCATTTTTCAATGAAATACGATTACATGAATAAAGAACGTCCGAACATTTACCATCCATCACGAGCTGGTGTACGTGCTGATCCATCGATTACAAATGCATCTCATATTAATCGATCGAATAGCAATGATGACGGCGACGATGAAACGTTGCACAATTCAAGCGAGTCCACACCTCCAGCTGACGACAATCATTTGGTCGATTCGATGAATGACAACGGCACCAACATCTACAATATCAACCATGATGATGGATGCAATAGTGAATTGTATGATGGTGAACAACGAGAGAGAATTTCTGACTTGGATTCGGATCTGAGCTTAAGAAAAGTGCCAGCAACGAAAAAACAAATGCTTTCCATTGAAGAGCAACTAAATGACGCTGTGCGCTCATTGAACGAACATCAAATGCAATCGAATGCAGTTGCAGCAGCAGCAGCAGCCGCAGCCAATCGTCGTTCACAATCCGCATTAAAAATGTACGCTACATCGAATGGCCTAGGTAGTATTATAGAAAAGTTATCAATGGATGATTCCGATACAAATGCTACAATTGTTGAGTCACCATTTAAAAAACCGCAAGTGATAGTGAAAAATTCTGGTCTCGATGCGAACGCCAAGAATGTGCCATCGTCGAATATTCGTCACGAGATCCAGGATAGCCATGCCCAACAGAAAAAACCCATGGCTATTAATACACGTAACAATATTCGACCAGAAGAAAATTGGCGTTATCGCAGCAACAGCAATTCCTTGGAGAATAAACAACAAACAAGTGAGTGGAATGATTTTCAATGTGATTTTCTTCTTATTTTGATTTTGTTTAGTCATCGCATTATAACTCTTTAAATAGAAATGTAACGGCTGATTGTTTTTTTTTTATTGTTCGATTGATTGATTTATTTCTATTTCTTTTTTTCTCTCTTTATTTCGCTCATTTTGCTCTGCGCTTACTGATGATGATGATGATGACTACATAGGGAATATGCCAGCGATGGGTTTCAAAACTTATCGTAATTTTACGAATAATTATGTGAATTCATCGAACATCGATAGAGCCGCTGCTCTCTACCATCACAATGCGGCAAACAATAATAACGGCTACCGTAAAATGCAGCAGCAACAACAGCAGCCGTATCAGAAATATCAGAACGAGCATCATGCGTATGGTGGCAAAGGTAAAGGATATGAATCTTCAGCAAACACTGGCATTAACTGGCGCAACGAATGTCGACACACCGTCGATTTTGATGAAGATTCAAGCCTAAGCGTTGGTCTATCACCACCATCGGAATCAGTTCTACTACAACGACGCATTATGCGACGATCGGATATTTCAATTCGAAGTCCACCCCCGCAAACAGCAAGCGGTTAACGAGTTTTTATTTGGACTCAAAACCATTCACATTTTTTTTTTCTATTTTTTTTTCATTGGTTCATGAACTTTCTTCTTCAATTAAGTCCAACTGTAGAAGAGCAAACAATTGTAATCGTAATCGATTCTTGTTTACCTATATACATATTTTTTTTATTCACAAAGCAATTTGATGAAGATTTTCCTTTTGTTTTTTTTCTTCTTCTTAACCAGTCCAAATCGAGATATAGTTATGGTAAAAAATCAATTAAATGTTACTTGAATCAGAGAAAATAATATTTTTTAAAAAATTTCTTGTAGATTTTTTTTTAGAAAACAAAAATGATATTTAAGTTGAACTAAGCAAAAAAATCGCTAAAACTACAAAAAAATCCACACAAAAAAATCCTTAGAGATGATGCTATAAATTAAGCAATACGATCGACTGAAATTTTAACAAAACATAAGCATTTTTATAGAAAAAAATAGTAAACTCTTTTGCGTAATTAAAGAAAAAATAATTGGCATGGAAAATACAAAAAAAAAAAAAAAACAAATTTGCAAGAGAGCAACAACGAGAGGGTACATTAACATATAGATATGATATTTAATACTTTTGAATTTGAGAGCAATGTAAAAGTTAAAACCTCTCACACACTCTCACTCTCTCGTATGGTACTGGCTTCCATTACTTAAAAATAAAACAAACATATAATAAAAACAAAACGAAAGAAAAGGAAATACCATTCTGGAAAATTGAGCGAAACTCTCTCCACATACGGAAGAGCATTGATGAAAATGTAATAAAAACGAATTATTAAACAGAATTTAGTTTATAAAACCGAAGAAATTTATAAAAAAAAAACAATAAAAGATGAAAAACGAAAATATATAGAATATGTGAAAAATGGTGGACGTATCGATCTTGAGTTGATTAACTGCAATTGAATTTGTAGGCGAAGTGTCTTTCATGAGTTTCGTTCAAGTTTTGTGTGTAATTTCCAAACCATTTTGCACACACATACAAACACATTTTTGAAGACTTTCAAATGTTTCCTTAAATTCCCCAGTTCACATATAACCTGCACTATGTGACAATATACATATAAACATATATATATACATATAAAATTCCTCAGAGCGCCGAGAAACTGATAGATATGTTAGATGGTGCGAATAAAAACATGCCTTTGCGCACACATTCATATGCATAGAGTCGTTTTTAGTACAGAATTTTCGATGATCCATCGAAATCACTCTTTTCTCTCTTATTGGAATGTAACAACACCAGAAAAAAATCGAAAAGAATAAGAAAGCAAAAATATGATATGAAAAAAATGATACAAAAAAAACACAAAATAAAAAATTAATACGTTTGATAAATTTAAATTTAGAAACCAAGTAAGTGAAGAGAGAATTTTTCTAATGTGAACGACTGCATAGCATAAAAATAATGAGAGAAAAAAAAATTTAGTCATTATAAAAAAAGAATCATTATTGTTATGTTTATACATTTTTTTTCTTCAGTAAGCCTTGTCTTTTTTTACACTAAAAACCTATTTGTACAAATTTGCGTGAGATATAAATATTGGAAGCGACAACGAATCAAAAATTCGATCGTATTTAAGAAAGCATGAAAAAAAAGATGAGCAAAGCCAGAGCACTCTCACAAACACACATAATACACTCGAATAACAAAACTAAAATTAATATTGAAGAGAATTTAATTGAAAAACAACAAAAAAAAAAACATTCTGCACACTAACCAAATGAGTCAAACAAACAAAAAATCACACATCATAAATCGATCAATTACAACATTGATTGGCGATTGAAAAGTAAAACAGAAAAGAATGAGCTAGAAAAAAAAAACAATAAATGAAATCCACCATTAGATTTATAAAATAAAAATGAAAATGATTGTGAAGTAATTTGTTTGCAATACTGTTGATTCGCAATTCTCAAAATGGATGTTAAAAACGTACATTTTCCAAATAATTGTGAGCGGTTGAATCTTAATTTTGGTCATTTTTGTTTTCTGTGTTTGATAAAAAAATCGCCAAAATTGAGATTTATTTGAGAGAATTTGCATTTATTAGTAGTATTCCACGACAAATTCGATAAAAATTAACGAAAAGAAAAAAACCATGAGAAATATCAATAACAAGAATGTAAATCTAACCAAATAAACGTAAAATGCAATCCAGCGTGAATTACATCGACGCTTCAACACTCTCTATTCTATAAAAGTCAAAATTGCAAAGCATTTAAAAGTTCGGGGTCTATTAAATGTTGATTGATTCAGGGAATTTAAACAAAAAGAAAATACAAATGATAGAAACAAACAAATTAATAGCAATCGAACGACCAAACGTGTAATTGAATTTTCGTATCTATTTCAGATGATATTTGCTTTTGATTTATAAAGATAAAATCGTTGATTTTAGGAAATGAGAGTGAATGAAAGAAGTCATTGTTTCACCGCATTTGTTTTACACGAAAATCCACAAATTTCCGTTTTTCGTGATAAAACTTCAAAAACATTTATTCGGTCAGATAACAGTTACGAATCCCAAATCCGTTTCCAAATCGAATGATTGATGACAAATTTTACAAGATTTTTCTCCGCTAATAAAAATTGAAAAGATGCAGAAACTAAACGAGAGATATATATACACACACTCATTTCCACATTAAAAATCAATGTGATAATTTGTAATTAAAATTAAAGTCAAAGAAGAAGATGAAGAAGAAGTTGAAATTGTTAACTTTCGCAATGAAGAAAACAAAAGGAGAACAGATGAATGAAAGAAGAAGAAGGAAAAACTCTATGTTTGTGGTATAAATGTACAAACACATACCAATAAAATACGTAGTATTTGAGGTGGGGACAGCAGTGAGACAGTTTTCGTGCTCGTCGCTTTTCCCACCTCTCAAAACAAATAAAAATAATAATTTTTGTACAATATTTGCAATTCAATCAATTTGGATTTGTTTTGTTTCATAGTGGATGTAACACATTTTTCGTTTATTTTATTCTTTATTTTTCTTCTCAATGCCCATTTTTAAAGAAAAGGAATACCTGTAAAAATGTCATAATGTATAATCACGTTGTTCTTTTTTACTAATCTTTTGTGATTTCATCAGGCATCTTCTTCAATATAAAACAATAACAAACAATAATCGCAATAATCATATTTTTTACAATTAATGTCATTTTCTTCCCGAAAAAAAAACAAATATATGAAACGTATGTAACAGTGATATAATTGGATCAGAATAGTGTGTAGGCAAAAAAAATGAAAAAAATCTATAAAATCAGATAATAATTATAAAACATTCAATTTTATGTTCTTTCTTTCCCAGTGCAATTTGATAATAGAAAGTACACGTTCAAAATACTACTAAACAATGCTATAGTTTCACCGAATTTCACCGATATTGATTCTTATGAATTTAGAGGAAAAACTAAAAAAAAAGAAGAAAACAATATAAAATGCAACACTAAACAAAATGGTCACACATGTGAAAACATAAATAATACAAATTCAATTTTTGTCAAATCTTAGCTAACCGATTTTTTTCTAAACGAAAGCACATATACCGCGCTTGATGATGGTGCACATTGTTTTTCCAGAAAATGTGCAGAGCGATGAAGAAAAAAGAAAGTAGTCATTCATTCAGTAAGAATGTTGTGATTAAGACGATTTAAATACCATTTTCATTGACAAACATTGTGCACCGTTCATCATTACAATAGGCAATTGAAATACGGCTTCATATCGATTTAGATACCAACACATTTGAATATATATATATGCTTCTGCCTTTAAACCGCAATTACAATCAAATAACAATTTGCATCCAATGATAGAAATCATTCCGAACGTATCGAAATCACCAATACAATATCATATATATATTCATAAATTGGATATCGATCTTCATATATCGAATGATGTATTAATTTTTATTTAAAAAAATCTTAATCGATTCTATAAGTGTATATTGCGGTTTAATCAAAAGCAGCATAGTATTTGATTCAAATACTTAGGAAATAACAAATTTGATGATGAATTGAATGGCGAGCATGGGATAAAGCACAAATTTGATTGGATACTGGAATGACGGGAAGAAAATGTCCAAATTCAAAATACAAAAAATAAATGAAATCAGATAAAAAATATATATTTCACAAAATACCGAAATTCAAATCGCAAAATAGCGAACCGAATTATTTCAAAATCGATATTCAACGGTACATTTTCATCCAAGTTGAAGAATCTTTTTTGTGCAAGAACATTTATTGTAATACGTGATGATAATGATGATGAATTATTATTAAATATTTTTTTTCTGGTGTTAATATGAAAACGCAAGAGTACATTATTATTATTATTATTACAATTATTATAAAACTATATTGAGAAAGAGAGGAAGGAAAACACAAGATAAAAACACAAACGAGATCTACAAAGAATTGTTAAAATGAAACAAAAAAAAATGTTCTAATTTTTTTACAAATAAAAATAACAGAAAAAGTGATGACAAAGTGAATTTACCGATGTTTTATTTATGTAAACAAATTTGTTTAATTTTTTTGAATCATTCCTATTCGCGCATGCAAAACTATTGTGCAATACACACAGGATGGACTTTTAACACAATGATTATCTAACGATAATGCCCGTTAATTATGAACGTAATAACATGCAATTAGTTGGCTCAACTTTGAACCATTGAATAACATATTGGTGACAATGCACCATTTCACTTGCAAAGCTAATGCATATTGGTGAAATTATTACGGACGAAGAAGCACCACATAAGCGCGTTCGCACACAGGTTTTTTTGTTGTTGTTGTATTATCATTTTGCTACATTTCAGTTTCAATTGAGGCAAAAAAAAACCGGAATATGAACAATATGCAATAAAAATAACAACGTGGTCAAGAAACAAGTCAAATGTTTATGACGCTAAAAGTGCTTTTTTTTCTCTAGTAAATACATTCATCGCTTCGCTTTTGTTTTCGTTTTCTCTGTTTGTTTCTAAGGTGAGTGAAATGCAAAAAAAATGTAATCGTATTATTTTTTGTTGCTGTTGAATTTGACAAAAGGTATGCGTGAGCTCGATCACTTTTCCGGCTCTTCGGTTGACACTTCTTTCATTGAGAAACCGTTGACGCGAACGTAATGACGCTAATAGCAATAAGCGTCATATGAATGCTAATTTTATAAATTCTACCGAATACACACATATATTGTATGAAAACGATGCCAAAAAAATATTTCGTATTCTAGGACAAGCTGAATCAACCGTTTTATGCGCTGTATATATTTTTTTCGTTTTTTCAGGTTCGTGCGTCAAAAATTTTTTTGTTTGGAATTTATGTTATCAAATTGTTGTAATCAAGCAAAGTAGCAAAAGAAGCACAAAAGCAGTAAAGAAAGTGATTTTGTATGCATGCCATAGCGGATCGATTAGTTTCTATTCTACCACTTTTGGAGATTAGATTGTGTTGTTTTCCAAATAAAATGCGGTCAATGAAATGCAACTGAAGAACTTTCAACGCCGGTTGATTTGGGGTTTTTCACGGACAATAAATCTCCTCGATTAAATGATTTGTAAATATCCGTGGGCTGAAGTCACAAGATGCAACCGAACCGAGTGATGTGCGTAGAATTTTAAAAACAACATTTTATTCGCTCGTTTTGAATAGATAAGATTTCTTTCAATTCTCACTGTCGCACGACGCGCTCTTTTTTTTAACGATTTGATGGTCAAATTCAAATGGGAAAAACAACAACATGATTTCATTATCTACTTTCGCCTTCACACAGATTTTTTTTAAAACTGTATTAATTCGAAAAATGATGCTAAAGAGCGAACACAGTTATCTCTGATCACATAAATGAACTTTATGTCAATTGTCCGGTAAAATAATTTCCTTTTCCATTATGTTTTCTTAAAATCGCAAACACGCTCTCGCACATTTTTCATTGTGATACAATTTTTGTTTGAGTTTATTGCACGTGCCATTTGGCGCGCACAAAATCAAATCTTAAATACTGCAAACGCACTATGAAAGAAAGTAACAATGTAATAACATAACATCGAAAATGTCTTTATTATAGATAACAACTGGCTTACACATGTCGACGACGGTAAAGCCAACGGAACGAAAAATGCGAGCAAACGCGCTTTTTTTTCTCTCCAGCGAATGTAATAAAAATAAAACAAACGAAATAAAAGTACTATTTTATCTGCATGCCATGTATAAATAATTCAATCCATGTTTCAAAAATTGTTCGCTTTTATTTTAATTCATTTTATTTTACATTTTCGTTCGATGCTACAAACCATTTCCATTGAGCATATTTCGTTTCGTTTATTGTCTTTGGCACATTGTTTTGCGGCCACATTTTAATTGCTCACAAATAGAAAACGAACAATTTTCATATGAAGCGCGAGTGTGTGGGGCAAATTTGGCTCTCATTGTAAACCATGTACCACCAGTAGCCACTTAACAAGTGCCGAATTACTAAAAATGCGTTGCATACTTTGATTCATTGTCAATACGGTTTGTTACTTTGTCAAGTGAACAGAAATCATCTCTATTGCTGTGGTCAAGTCAGAAAAGTGCTCTCGGTCATTCGAACATTTTAAAAATCGTGTGATTGTTTCTTTTTTTTCGCTTTCTGGTATTTATTTTCCGAAATTGAATGTTTAAATTATTGATATCGACAATCATGGGAAATATTCGAAGAAATATTTCACTTACTTTAACAATAGTTTTACTAACTGATTATGTGTTGAGTGCAAGTGTTGTTGATAAAATAGAAAAGCGAACGGATCAGGATTCTTATATTGATGCATTGCATAAAACGCATGCCGAAGATTCGCTGCATTGTGAGTGTACAATTTTTAAATGGAATTTTTTTGTTTGCAATTTTTTTTGTTGAAATTTGAACCGTTATTAAAGCGCGCGGTGATTACAAAGATAACAGCATCTCATCGCATCCTGGATATTCTTATGGGCCACCATCAACGGAATATGGACCACCTTCGAGTGAATATGGGCCACCAGTACCGTCACCATCTTATGGACCTGTGTCGACTGAATATGGACCCCCTGTGCCGTCACCATCGTACGGACCTCCGTCATTTAGCTACCAATATGGTCCACCGTCATATCAAGGCTCGAGACCGATAAATGTATACAATTATGGGCCAGCACCACCAAAATTCCCCGTCGTTCATAGTTCTCCACGTGACGAACACTGGCTATTCGATAAATTCAAATTCAAATTAGATCTGTTCACCATCGGCAAAATCCTCATCAAATTGATCATTTTCAAGAAGATTGTTAAATTCATTGCGTTGATTTGTTTGCTATTGTTTTTGCCACGATTGCAAACCAAACATATGAACGTGGTGGATATGTTATCTGGTGGCGGCGACGAAAGCGAGGAGGAACCCGATGAAAAGCGATCATTCGATTTCCGTAAGTGAAGAAAAAAGAGACAACTTTTTTTACATGGTCTTGAATTATACATTGCACAGCAAAAGCTGTAAAAAAAATTGAGCTGACTAGAAATGATTAGTTTATTTAAAAAAAAAAACAACGAATTAAGTGATATGAATTTAAATATGCATTTTAGGCCAATCACGACAAAAGCAAATAAATGAAGTGTCACGATTTGCCATGACGGCCATTCAATCGTTTACTGACAAGCATCTGGTGAAATGTGGAAATTTGAGCGATATTCCATGCCGATTTCAATCAATGGTCGATATTATCGATGATAAATATCCATATGAAAGGTACACGGCTTTTCATTTAAAAAAATGATCGATTTTTATATTTATTTTGGTTATTTACATTAAACTTAATTGAATTTAAATTACAGAATAATCGAAATGGTATTGCCAATCAGTGAATATTATTTATATCCACCACAAAAACCAAAAACAAAAATTCATAAAAAAGAATTGGATGCATCATTGCTGAACGATGTTAATCAAGATCAATATCAAAACGAACAAAGTATTAATGAAAGTTCAACGCCAGAACCAACGATAGCCACAACACCGGAATATGATGAACTATCCTTTATGTCATCGTCGTCGTCGTCATCTCCATCTATCGATCACAGTAATAATAATCACATTTAATACATCTAGTTAGTTAAGTTATAGTTGCTGTGAGGCAATGTTTATTATTTTTCATCCATTGTTAAGCAACCAGATATAAAATGCCACTGTCTGGATTATTCTTTTAGGTGTCGCATTGTGTTTGTATGGCATTTTATTAATGTTTATCAAGTGCAATAGCATGTAAAGCATAGGTTGCCCGATATAACAAACAATTAATTATCACAACCATCTCCAGCTTCTTTCCACCTATCCTCGATTTTTCTATAAAAACACAAAAAAAATTATTGTTCGTACTATGTCTTGCTCGTCATCAACTAACATAGATCCAAACTAAAACCGATTTACCATTACTGACTCTAATTTATGTAAGTTTTCAAGCATTTATTATTTTTCAAATCAGTTTACTGTTAACAATATGCGTTTGTGTGTAAATATCATACTCTCTCGGACAATGTGTATATTTTCGGGTTGATTTTCTTTTCGAAATTCTTGTTTTGTTTCAATTACTTTGTTTGTTTCTCATTCTGGTATTGGCTTTCTTTTCTTTCATTCGTTGTCTATCCGTTTTCACCTTCCGAGATTTTATTGTGTGCGCTACTCCTCCAATTCATTTATTTATTCAATCATCGCTAATACAATACATTTTTTAAAGTAATAATCTAATTTATATTCTAGAAGTGTAAAATAAATTATTTTTTGTTTTATTTTTTTTTTGTTTTGTTGTGGAATACATTTTAAACGAAGAACGCACTTTCTTTCATTTCATTGTTTTCATGTGTATGTCGCCCGATATTAGGTCGTAGCGCGTGAAACAGGTAAGAATTTCAATACATACCAATGAGCTACTTGAATGCCTTCAGGTGCTTCTTCGGACACAAATATCACACTGCGTCAGTCATTTCACAACATGCAGACAATTCGTTCAATGGAATGACTCAATTCTGCCATCATGATCATCAGTCAGACCATGATATACCTCAAAATTTGCTATTTAAAAAACGAAAGCACAACCACTTAGCTGTTTTATTTTCTAATTTATCTTTTTATTTACGCTCATTATATAATATATATATATAAAAAAAGATTCATTCGTTAATGTAATAAATATCAATTTGATTAAATGTGTAAATAAATGAGAGCTTCTTAATGAATCTAATGCTGTATATATCATAAGTATACAAATATATATATTTAGGATGATGGGAGCTTTTGCTTTATTTTCTTCATGAATTCCTTGGCCAGTTTATCGCCTTCGCGCAACTTCAACGCATTTAAACATGGACAATCTAAATGGAAATGAATGGAAATTAATTAACTTTTTTTTATTTTATTTTTTATTTTATTTTTTGAAATTACCTGAATTCTTCGGCCGATTCAATTTCAAATGTTTTTGTTCGCTTCGATTGCTGTTTGCAATTTCGTTGAACTTTACAAAACCCTCGGCTATGTATTGATTTGAGAAACCAAGCAAATCTCGATCTTTTACGCTGAATATGAGAATTGCGTCTCCATTTGAACGCTGTTCATCATTGAGTGGACTATTGCACAAATGATCATTAACAAATGAAATAAAAAATCATGATAAAATATAAATAAACTCACATCACAAATTTTTCGTCAAAAAGTGGAAACAAAGTTTTGTTTTGGAAATTCGTTTTGTATTTTGTTGTTACGCCAAACTTCTCCTCTGGACTGAATTGGATTCGTACGAATGGATCGCATGAACCATTACTTGCTATTGGCACCAAATTTCGTGCATTCACTACTTCAATCTGTCAAGAAATCAGTTGAAATTGAAGAGAATTAAGAAAAAAATAAATATTGAAAGTGTCAATTTTTTACCTCAAGGCAATTATCGTCTGAGAAACCGTATCGAACGGTGAGTTGACCCAGTGGTGCACTGTCCATGGCTTGTTGATCCTTATATCGTTGGATATAATACTGATGAATGAGATCGCTGGTTTCGTAACTGTGCAGCTGCAAAAGATTTTCGATTTCAGTAAGTGTTTCTCTTTCCCTGCAATCGCTGACCATCTCTCCACACTTGAAGCTCTTGACCATAATGCGTAGGCTTTCACGTAAATTCATAAAGAACTGAGGCGGACGTCGTTTCTGCAAAAGAAATCAATGCAAATTAAAATTACAAAAGAAGCAAAAATGATAAAAAGTCAGTTGCTCACATCCAAATTCGTTTGTACTAAATCGCGTAAAATGATGGCCAATTCCACCCAAATGGCTGATAAAATGCGTTCAAAGTTAACTTCATTGAGTTCAGTATTTAGTGTTTTCAATGATTCTTCCAGATACAACATAAGTCGATCCATTGAATTTGAGTCTTGGTGTAGAACTTCGGCTCCTTCCATTAAAAATTTTCGCATTGGTGGCCCCATTTTTCGTGCCATAATCTCGATCAAATCAACGATTTTATTTTCTTCGGTATCGACCGCATTTTCAACGACATTTTTCAGAGTCTGTTCACACCGTTGTGCTTCCGCCTGGCTTCTATATTCGGCCAATTTTTCAATGATATCTTCAACTTTTAAGTCTTCAATGAATGGTGGTAACTTTTGTCGAATATAATCAATATTATTGATGGCCAAACACCATTCTTGTGTTACCACAAATTTGTTTCCATCATAAACATCTTCAATATTTCCAAGACCCTCAACGCGTGACGACATTGTATCAGCATAATAAACACAACAACGGCAAATGTCATCGACAATTTTTGCAATGAATGTATAACTTCCTTCGACATCTGGCCAATTTAATTGAGTCCAGAATATCTTAATTTGGTGAAATATGGCCAAAGTGTCAATAGGTGATGTGCTGTATTTCACTGTATCATCGATTGGCATCAATTTATCCAACTCTATGGCCTTTTCAATCCGTTTCATTGCCTTGTACAGTGAAATATCGAGCCAATGCGCCACACCACTGGTGAACCAATTATGGAAATCGTTGATTCGAAACACAGCTGTCTCTGGGCACAATGCTGTACTCAGTGCAGAAAATCGTTTTAGGATCAAATACACCTCGAACAATGTTGTTCCCATATTGACTTCTTCATGTTCCGGCAGTGGTTCGCCGGCATGATCTGGCATTGAAATTCGCTTGAGATGTTTGCACGCTCGTTCAATGGTCATTTGAAAATTTTCCGATAATTCTTTTTCGTAGTAAATGTAACAGATTGATGTATAGTCACATTGAACACGGCTGAAAATGAATGGAATTATTTGTCAATTGTCAGACTTTTCTTTTATTTGGCTGAATTGAAAACTTACTCTTTGAACAATTTATCGTAAAATTCCAATCCTCGCTGCAGATCGGCCCGAATTAATTGTGTAATTTTGATGATATTCTGTAGATTTTCTTCGTCATTCTCCCGGTTAACATCACGAATTTCATTTATTTTTACGAACAAAAAATCTTGAGCACCAGACCGAATGGCTTCTTCTACAACACTATAAATGTCGAGCGTCTTCAGGTCTACATTTGCTTTACTCAGCCACCTTAATAAGTAAAGAGATACAATACAATTAACATCTGCACATCCAAAATTCGAAGTTCTCAGACAGAGATTACGCTTACCCGTAAACATTTTTCGGAAATAGATCCACATCTGCGGGCGGTGAAAGTGTACCAATAATTGAAAGAATGGATAAAACTTCTGTGAGCACTTTCATTGAGTTTTTATCGCTGGACGTTTTCTTCCGAATATTTCTGATGACCGAATAACACGATGGAAGCAATTTCTTCACTCCTTCCCAAAATAGTTTTGTATCTTCTGCATTTGTTTCGGGCGAGTGCAAAAATCGTAGCAATTTTTCCAAGAGATTCTCGAATAGTTTAAATGACAGAGCATGGTTTGCATGAATTGTTGTGTATGCCGACCATTGAGCTACCGATCGTGTGTTTGCATTCATGCCACTTTGTGCGGTATGTTGTGCAATCACCGCTTCACCTTGTTCGCTGAACTTTCCCGACCACCAATACGGAGCCACTTTTGATGATTCTAATTCGTGCAACAATAACACGCGTAGCAAATGCTTATGCTCTTGAACAGCAACTTTACAATTTTTCTCAGCGCTAAATGACAAACGCAATTTAATCAATCCTTGATGTTTTGGCTTATTCTTCTTGTCCAAACTGAACCACATTACCAAACCAGACGTTGAAATTGTCTATAAAAGGAATGATTAGAAATGAGAAAATACATTTCTTAGATGCTATTGTTTTCATTGTATACTCACTCGTAATGGAATGCTACATCTTCCAATTAGTTCATTGTCATGTTTGCCTGTTGATGCTGTCACAGCAATCTCTTTCATTAGCTTACGAAAACCACGAACACCTTTGATATCCAAAATTTTTGTCATTTTCTCGCCAATCGTTTCAGCTGGATCGAAATCCCAGACTTCAACCACCAAACTGTCATCACCTGTTCCATTTATCAACGGTCTAGTAAAGATTTAAGTTGCAAAGCAGATAAGTAAATGTGAGTCTCATAGTACTTTATCGTATGCTTACAGTGAAAAATGCTCTTCCCATGACGGATTTAAAGTGCATGATTTGACAGATGTATTATATCGATGTGATGGCGCTGAACCAATGTACATTGTTACAAATGGATCGGATAATCCATTTGGATCTTTGGATTCCAATTCTTTTGCTTCAACCACTTCGACGTTTAAACGCATCTCGGGCGGCTTCTTCATAGCCGCTGCGCTCAACAATTCGTCATGACGAGCATTTGTTATCTGAAAATTGAATTACAAAAGAAAGGAGTAATATTGATTGAACACAATTATTTATTTCCGGTGAGTAAAATGTCAAAATCAAAAAGGCAGAAAAATAGAAAATTTTTAATTTCTCGCGGTTTTTAATTCTGGATTTAAATTCAAGATAACAAATTGAATAAATTGATTTGATTTGAAAATTTTCAAATAAAAACAGTAAAGAATTTGATTTATCAGTGTCATTTCATTCAATCCAAATTATTTGAACATTTTAATTTGAGAAAATCAAATCTATTTATATGTTTAAAATCAAATAATACTATTTTTAGTTTATTATTTATTTTTTATTATTATCTTGCTAACACGTTCTACATACTATTTGATTTGAAAATCAACACACAACCATTGATTTGATTTGAAATGTTCAAATTAATTGATCTAGAATGAGAGAAGCCATTAGAGGCTGCCTCTATCTGCATTTAAAAAATGGTATAAAAGGAGATGCAACTTGGATCCCATACACAGTTGTATTTTGTCATACATTCAGTAAAAAATGGCAAGTAAATTAATTTTTGTTTCAGCAATTGTGATTGCTGTGGCAGCATTAACATTGGGAGAACCATTATCGTGTCCGAGTCAACATTTTTTAAGAAAACACGTTGTAACAAACTGCCGATCGAATAAAATCGCTAAATCCGAAGAACTATCAGCAAACCGCCAGTAAGATTGTCTCATTTTAGATTTTACTGTCAAAACGTAACTAATTCTTTTGTAATGGATTTATTAGTGACACTGCCACAAATAACATTTTTGTTACCAAAAGTGGTTATCAGGATGTCTATAAAAATCTTAAAAATCGGTTCTTCAGACGAGGCAAAGGTAATAAATGCTGTGCAACCACTGAATTCGAACAATACAATTGCATTAAAACAGGCAGTAAATGGAATTGTAGCTCAAATAATGGACCTTTCACACCATGTCATATTCCAAATCAATATGGTCATTATATATTTTCTACTTCATAAAATAAATTGCACAGTTAATTGATTATGTAAAATTCTTTTGATCCATATCACTTCACATCGATCAAAAGAAAATTTACAATTGCTTCAAAAGAATTTTATGAAAGTACGTGACTATCAATATCCATAAATACGTTGATAAATTGAAAAAAAAAAAAAAAATAATTTAAATATTGTTTCAATTAAATCTAGCTTATAGGTTTTTAAGTCGTTATATGATTATAGTTAGTTCAAGTTTTGATATATTTAGTCAGTCCATAGTATACTGGATAGTAAATCAAAAAAAAAATCGTTGAATAAGTTACAAATGGTTACCTTGAAAGCATCTTGAATGTATCCAAACAATGAGCTCTGGCATGTTTCATTTTCCGTTTCACATCCGACATTGTGAAGTATTTGATAAAGAATTTCTTCGTAGAGTTCCTCTGTCTGTTGTTGATGAAAAACAAAAAGAAACAAATAAAATGATTTTATTCAGTAGACAAGGTGAATCTAAGTGCACAAAATCGAAAGAAAAGTCAAAAGAAAAGAAAAAATTTGAAAATGTTTTGTTCACAATAAATTTTCTTTTGGTGTCCGAAGCCGAAACGCGTTAAATAAATTATAATTGGCCTGTGGTATCCATGACCTTGTCCCATTGCACTAAAAAATTGATGTATTCATGTGTCATCACGACAACTGGCTGCGATATGAAGTCAAAGTGAATATTGCAACATGTTCGCATGAACGAAAATTGTTCACTGCGAAAAGTCAAAGACATTTTTCCCGTCTTGAAATTCGTTGTTGTATTTTTATCTCAAACTGAATCAAAGAATAAATAGCACACGATTCATTAATCATTTGGTGAAACGTGAAACCTCCTACAGAAAATACATTCGAATCCACCGACAAAACGAACGAAAAATTGAACACAAAAATAATTAAAACAAGTGTAACATATACTAACGGTCATTGAAAGGAGAAAGTGTTTGGTTGTTTTATCGAGAAAATCGCCAGGTACACCGCGAAAATGATTGCGAGCGATAGTCCCGTCACGATTCACCGATTTCTTTGTGAATTGCATTTTATGATCCTTTCGTGATGCATCACTTTTACTTTTCATCAGCACACGGGCACTGTGACGAAATTGTTTATACCACTCAAAATTCACTTTTGGCTCATTGGCTTTATCGATTGTGGATTTTCTGGCAGTTTCATTGAACTGAACTAAACTATTGCACTTTTCTAAGGTGGCATATTTTCTGTGCTTCGTTGCGCCGACAAATCGTTCACTCGTCACATCTTCTGTCAAATTAATCGAATGTGGAATTGACGATGCGCTCATTGCTATCTATCTCTATCTAACACTATAATGTCCGTAATCAAATCCCTTCAAATACAAATTCGATTACGATCGTGCGAGATTGAAAACGACTAGAAATAGAATTTGTATATCGGCACAGCCAATGAGTTAAAAAAAAATTATTAAAAAAACGCGATGATTTGTGTGTATCCTAATGTTTTGGGATATATTACGGTGAAATAGCCAGCCAACTACATTTGTTTGTCTGTGTGAAATTTCTTCCTTTTTGTATCATTTTATTCATTTCTTTTCAAGAGTGTTGTTTTCGTTTGTCACTTTTTTGTGTGTGCCGTTTTTACATTTTCCTTTCTTTTTTAACTTCAATCTTTTTTGGCGTTTATTTATTTTATTGTTGTTGTTTTCGTTGCGTATTTGATTTTTCACATCACTTTGGCAATGTTGATGCCAATTTATTTTTAAGTTCACTCTGTATCGGTATCGAACGGACACTGACGCTCTCGTTAAATTCTGCCAATTCTCTCAGGCAAGAATAAAAAAAACACAAACGGTGAATTATGTAAACTTTTTGGGCTCATCGATGCGAACACGCACACACACAGCGCTACTGAAAAAAAAACTCAACATGATGATGGTGAGATCAAAGTTAGTGTTTGACTTCAGATTCATGCGATTAACATGCAGTGGCATGAAAGACGCTAGAGAGAGAGAGTGTGTATTTGTGTGTGCGTGATATTTTATTAGCTCGATTGCAAGCACAATAAACAAAACAACAAAAGGCAAAGAGAGAAAAAGGATTAACGGTTAACTCAGTCAACACCATGACTGTACGATGACGATTAAAACAATTGAGGCGTCTGTTTTCTGTCCAAAAAGAGTGCACTTTATTTTTGACACATTCATTCGATTGTAGATAAATATTGAGGTTTTGTGAGGATTCTATCTCAAATCGACGCACAACGAAAAACATATTAAATTGTTGCAACACAAGCCGTTAATCGTTTGGAAATTTGTTTATTTTCCGTTTGAAATTGAAAATGTATCAATAGATTCATTGTTTAATTTGACTAGATCATTTGAAATGTGTGTAATTTGTGTTCGTTGAATACATTTGGTCGATTGAATTCCGAAATACATCAATAAAAATCGATTTAGTATCGATAAGATTATGATCGTAATATTTAACAGATTGTTTCTTTTGATTGAATACCTCGTGCCGGATCAATTGTGAGATCATGAAGCGAATTGTTTTGAGTATTGAATTTGTGTGTCCGTGCCGAAATCGTCGAAACCTGCGACGAAAATAGACTGAAATATTTTCAAGGTCTTCTTTGTCGAAGAAAAATGTTATAAAATTACATAGAACGATTGTTTATTCGCATCCGTCGGCATGCTGTGATGCAAACAAATTCAAAACACTTTTTTTTTTTCTTCTTTTTCATTTCTTTCGAATTTCTTTCTTTTGTTTAAATGTTAGCTACAAATGACTATTATTTACTTACATTCAATCCCGAAAATTCTTTGATAAGTTCTTCTTGTTTCGATTGTTGATCTTCGGGTTCACTGTCTGTGTCGTGTAGTGTTTCAGTGCCACTGTCATTTTCGCCTTCTTCAATTGTACGTAACGACAATGAATCGGTGACAATTTTGTCACCTGATGCTTGTAATGCATGTGAATTGACGATTTCATCTTCGGCTGTTTCCGATCTTTGGCTCAATAGCGAACCAAATTTTTCAAAAAATCCGCCATCAATCGCTTGAATCCTGAATCGAAAAATCAAATGAAATCATCAAAAGTTTCTATGCATAAAATAGTAGAAAAAGTGTCAATTGGTTTTATCAGATAATGAAAAAAAACGAACATGTTTGGATGAAAAGCAGTGAAAATATCTCTTTATTTCTGCTTTTGGAATGAAATTAAATATTAATAAAATCAAAGGATATGTTTGATTTAAAAAAAACTACAAGACATTTCAATATTTCTTTCTTTGTTTCCTTTTCAGTTTATCAACAAAAGTATTTATTTTTGTATTTTTATTCGCAATAATATTGAATAATGGAAGACATATAGATAGCTTCTTTGGATCATTTTATGGCAATGTTCAAAGCACATTCAATCTCATATCAATTTTATTAGAAGTTTTTGAAGCTAATGTTGTTTATTCAGTCCAAACCGCCCAAGCAAATGTACTTAATTTCAACATAATCGTCAATGCCGTGACGTGAACCTTCACGGCCTATGCCCGATTCTTTAACGCCACCGAATGCTGCTTCGGCTGTGGACAATAAACCTTCGTTAACACCAACCATGCCGACTTCAAGTTTACGCGATACACGCATCACTTGATTCAAATTTTCAGAATAGAAATAACCAGCCAAACCGCGTGACGTATCGTTTGCAATGTGCAACACTTCGTCTTCAGTTTTGAATTTCATAATGGCAACAACTGGACCGAATACTTCTTCGGTATACAAACGCATGTCGGGCGTTATATTCGTCACGATTGTTGGTTCGTAAAATAATTCACCATTTTCGGGTAATGGTCGACCACCACATAAAATCTTGGCCCCTTTGCTGCGTGCATCTTCAACAATCGCCGATACTTTATGCAGTTGAGCTGTATTGATAAGCGGTCCAATTTGTACGCCATCATCTTTACCATCGCCGATTTTAAGCGATTTTACGGCTGTCATCAGCTTTCCGATGAATGCATCGCTGACGGTTTCTTGTACAAAAAATCGATTCGATGCAACACAAGCCTGACCGCAATTACGGAATTTCGATGCCATTGCACCGGTTACGGCTTTTTCCAAATTTGCCGATTCGAATACAATAAACGGTGCATTTCCACCCAATTCCAAGCCGATTTTCTTTATGCCTTCAGCGCATTGCCGATATAATACACGTCCCACTTCTGTTGATCCGGTGAATGAAACTCCGGCAATTTGTTTACTTGTGCACAATGCTTCACCGACGGCCGCCACATTTTTTCGACTGCATGTTACGACATTGAAAACACCCTTTGGGAAACCAGCTTCCTCAGCCAACTTTACCAGCGCCAATGCTGTCAACGGTGTATCTTCGGCTGGTTTAATCACAACAGTGCAACCTAAAAGAAAACATTTTTGTTTTTGAAAACAAAAAAAAAAAACACAAATTGAGCATTAACCTTCAAAAATCCTTTCGGAGAGCTATAAAAAATACGGTTGAAATCAACAAAGCAAATTCGGTGACACTTATAACATAAACATGGGATCTTTGTCATGCGAATGCCATTCATATTTATATTCGTTGCTCACATAAACAGTCTGTGTTTATATTATCATAAATATCAACGACGACAATATTTGTTTTTAAACCGATAAACTATAATATTGCAATGATGAATAATGTAATTTAATATTAATGTAAAATCGTTACGAGTGTCAACGTTTTTGCATCGTCGTGAATTCAATTGGAATGCAAACCTGCTGCAATGGCTGCGCTTGCCTTTCGTGTAATCATTGCATGTGGAAAATTCCATGGTGTTATCAATGCGGCAACGCCAATTGGTTCACGTGTTAGAAATAGTCGTTTCTGTTTTTGTGGTGTCGGAATAATTTCGCCATAAATACGTCTAGCTTCTTCAGCAAACCATTCGACAAACGAATTTCCATATGTTATTTCGCCCAATGATTCAGCCAACGGTTTACCCGATTCCATGGTCATAATCGATGCGATTTCATTTCGATTGCTCTCAAGTAGTAAATGCCATTTCTTAAAAATCAATGTGGTAATTACATTTTATTTTTGTTCATCCAATCGAAAATCGAAAATAAAATACATACTTTCAAAAGTGCGGATCGTTCTTTGGCGGTCAGCGAACTCCAATCATCCGAATGGAATGTTTTGTAGGCGGCATCAATGGCCTTTTGTACATCGTTTACATCCAAATCAGGAACATGACCAACGATTGAACCATTTGCTGGATTTGTGACAGCCAATTCGGTTTTTGATGATGACGATACCCATTCGCCGTTGATAAGCGTTTTATTTAATAACAAATGCATATTTCTGCGAATATTACCGGACAACCGATTGTAATTAATTCGTTTCAACGAATGCAAGTTACTTGCAGTGACAATCAGGCGACTAGCTTGAAATAGCATTTTTTTGTGCACTCGGCAAAATCAACCGGTTGAAAAATAAAACGCACACACTTCTTTTTCTGTTCGTGCCACAAATACCATTCGATTTATCGTACAGTTGTTGAAATCTTATCTCTCTCTTTCACACTTAAATACTGAGTAATTAACTTTTTGTGCGGCTATTGTTATCTGTCGTCAAAAACAAAATATTTTCTGCGACCGAGATCTTGTCGCGATTTCAATTAGCAGGAAATTACATAAAGAATAATATTCATTCCCAATTGAATCGAGAAGTTTCAACAAAGCACCCAAAGCGCAGTTGCAAACAATGTCAAACTACATTTGTTGTAAGGTTAAATAAATGAAAACAAGAATTTTTTTTATCACAAGCAGTCTCATCATTCAATTTTTTTTTCTTCCTTTAACTTCTTGTGGAGCATAGGCCTCATCATTCAATAGAACGAGATAAAACATATGAATGTGTAAAATTTACAGACGATAGCAAAATGTACGAGAAAGAGACAACCATATGGTTTTTCGAACAAAATGTCATCGTGCGGCTGTTGAATTCTACTCTACAATCATATGGTGTTAAAACAGTGTGCGAAATTCGCATACTTTGACACGGCAAATGTGCTTACATGTATATGTTCACTTGTGTTGGACACAAGAACGTTGAAGTAATAGTAATGAATACGAGTCGCTTCAAAGTAACACATTTAAACTACGATGTTCAAATTGCACATTTTGTTAAGATGTTTGCAAGTAAACAACTTTAATTATAGACCGTCTAAGTAGCCGTTGTTACTTTTTGCATATTTATATGAATTACACTTACTCTGGTTCGTGTGTTTCGGATTGGTTTAATTCAAGCATTTTATCCAAAATTCCTTTCATTATCATATCCTCTGCCATTTTGGTTGATGGTTTTTTTTTTCTACAGGGAAAAGTTTGATATTCAATTTTTAAGTTGAGCACAAATACAAACCAAAATAGCCACAATTGTTTCTATTTATATGCGGAATTGAAATTACTAACTAATAAAATTGAATTATTCAGCGTCATTTCATGTAAATGTTGAAGTTTGCATTTTGCACATTTAGCCAGTTAGTCAGTCCAGCCGGTAGTTAATCTGTATTTCATTAAATTGCTATTATCTCGCGACTAACAATATATACAATAGTTGTTTTTGTCGTCAGATCGGTTGAATTCCATGCGATTCAATGCTACTCTGGGAAACAATATTGCTCATTGTTTGAATGTCAGCTTTGTATATTGAAACGTGCAAAGTAGTACGTGAAAAGCATCTAAAAATCGCAATATTCACCACACGCTTTTATTCGATGGACTTTAAAATTTTCGATTCGAATTTTCATTATGTTAATTTCTTTCCTATTTTCAATGCTCAGAATAACATACATATTACTCTAAATTCTTAAATCATTTTATCCTTCTTGTTTTTGTTCTTATCAATAGCCGATAGCTATTAACGACAATCGACATATAACAAAATTGAAACTAAATTTTTTTTTACCAAAACTAGAAATTCAAGTCAATTCTTTTTCGTTTAACATTAGCACGATATTCTTAAATTTCTTCGGATTATTTTCAATGTATTTTTAACTTGAATTATTGAACTCAAAAAATTAATCTAATGAGATGTTTATTTACGCGTTCAAATGAAGGTGAAGTACACAAGTAGAAAAAAGCATTTAAAGAAACATTTATCAAAACAGAACACACATCCTGAATGTTAAGTTCAAAACGTGTTTTGTTGTGTTTTGGTTACAAAGTCATCGAAATGAAAGTAACAAAAATACGATATGAATTTATTTTTACGTATCATCGTTTCAAAACTAGTTTTCATTTCGTTGTACACATATTTTACTATCTAAAATGAACTTATTGATATATGTCGATTGAAAATAAATGCTTTGTTTGATATAATCAAAACAATTAAATTAAATAACAATCTGGTGCACGCGCGTATAATAAAAAAGACAAATTGATAATAACAAAAATAATAAAAAAAAAGAATTAGCAAAGCGAAGTTTCGATCTTCGGACCTCTGGGTTATGGGCCCAGCACGCTTCCACTGCGCCACTTTGCTCTTGATATTTACAATGACAGATACCATACACATATTTGCACATGTGCTGCTACCGTTTGTAAACCTCTACCGTACAGGCTCGTCACCAAAACCACTTCATACATAATTCGAATGTTATTTCGAATCATTCGATTTCCGTATTAGTCGCGTTTACTTAGAAATTATAATTTCTACAAATGTTTATTTTTGTCTCGATTTTATTGCGTTCTCTCGAACTTTCTCTCTCTCTCTGTTTATATATATAATTTTGTATATATTTATGTGGTGACCAAACAAATAATTCAAACGCACCAAATATTTGTTCCATTGAATTTGTGAATCATGGTTATAATTGTTTGAGTGCAACCAGATGCTTATTCAATGATTTGTCCGATTGAGTATAATTTAAATGAAGCGCTCAATGGAAATGGACATGTAAATTTTATGCATTGAATCGATCAATTGAAATGTTTGTTCAAAATTAATTAGTTTTTTAAATGAATTGGTCAGTTTCCCGTGAAATCACATTAAAATCGCATGTGGCCTTAATTAAATCTGAAATCGGTGCTCATTTCGTGTAAAATACAAAAATCTCATTTTTCATGACATTTGACCCGAATAATTCAAACTAATTTCAACTTTAAACAATGACTTTGGTTTTGCTTACTTCTTCACTTCTTATTTCGGTCAAAATACCGAACCACACCGCACACACACACACACGTTTACGCACAAAACGTTTATTTCGAGTAAATTATGCGTTTACAGTTTTCTTGTGTTTAACACTAGTTATCGAATCACTCACAACACTTTGCATATCAAATTTAGCAGCCTGCTTATGATTTTATATGTCACACATTTGCCTTTCTTCTCTTTTTTTCAATTTATTAACAAAATTGTGGGCACAAAAAATTTGTCAACAGAAGAAAAACATGAATTATATGAATAAAAAAAATATCGCTCGCCGCTATAGAAGTGCTTACAAGATGCCGGCTGATAGATGACTGAACTGAATATTGTACAATAGACTTGATTTTAAAATAAAGACTTTGTTTATGTGACGCGTAGCATGTTTTTATACTACAAACAAAGCAGTTTTTTTTATCCTTCGTACCGCATCTACCGCACTCGTTTAAACTCTCAATGAATTCTTTATGTCGAAAATTGTATGTATTTGTTAAAGTAATTAAGGTTTTAAAACATTGCCGTAAAATGCTAGGCTATACAATCTGTAATTCTGTATTATAGAATGATCAAAATTACAGAATACGTTGCGAGTGTTTGTGAGATGTGATTTCTTTTTTCTCAAGTATGGCAACGGCGCTGACTAATCTTATTTTCGGGTTTTTGATATTTTTTGTTTCTCATTCACTTAACATCGTGTGAAAAAAGGCACACGATGCAAAAACTGCCAAATGTCAATTATCGTATCTTATATTTGTCAACATTTCATCGATACAGCTACTCGATCTGCATACACGGCTTTTCTCTCGTCTCAGTGATAATAGTGATAGTGCGCAAATTAACCAACAATAAACATTCAATCAATGATTCGAACAAATGTTATTATGTGAATCTATCGCCTGACTATGTCTCATTCGTTTATTTTGTTTCATATTTGGCTGCGATAGCGTCATCATGAACAACACAGCGGTCTCGTCATTGCCTTGAGCTAGAAGAAGTTATTGCTCTTTATTATTTGTTAAACGATGTGAGCGAAAACGAGATGAAAAACAGTCGCCGCTTTTTAAGAAATTGTTTGGCAATGGAGTGGGATTGAACTAAACACTATAGGCATGGATTTATAATAAAATTACTATTTTTAAGTTGAGAGATGATTTTTTTTTAAATCTCACTTGTTTTTTTACCATTTCAGTGCAATCTGGTCTTTGACTCATTATCACGCGAATTTTACAATTGGGTTATCGCCAATTTCACATTATCTTTTGTTGAATTGGATTAAGTTCATAACAGACATTTTAACAAGCATCAATCACACCAACATTGTTTGGAATGCATTACATCAAAAGATTTATAATAAAATTTATTTGTTGCAATAGTATTGCAGCAATACAATATTTAGTATAGTCGTCTGGCAAATAAGACGATCGACTCAAAAACCGGTATCTCATGAATTCATTTGGTCTGAACGACAGACTCACTGTAGGAAAAGCCAGTTCATTCGCATAATATAATCTAGAGTTTTGTATAATCAGGTAATACACAATTCGGGTTTTCCGTCAGGAGATTGCGATCCGTCCAGAAATAATTGTTCAATGAACAGAAATCACGATGCCGTCGCAATCGAAAGTATTTATAAATATTTAATAACATCTATTGAGTGGTTTACCTTTAAAACACTCACACACATACTTGGGGAACAATTTACATAAAAGGTGACGAACCAATATATTACGGCGCCCTCAACACAAACATTTACATGCGATCGTAAATCATTTTGTAAGCAAAATTGTAGATAAACCAAAAATAATGGTAGAAATTTGATGCTTTGCAAAGACTCTTTAAATTTATCGTACAATTCAAATAAATCTTCGGTGACACACCGACAATTTTTTTTCGTTTGCGTCATTTTAAGATAGATAAATAATTCTGCGCGAAACGGATTTTGGACAAAATCTAACGCAGATTTGAGCTAATGAGAATTCACAAAATATTTAGAGTTAATGCTTTTTTCGGGCGTATGTAAACCAGCGTAAGCTTCTTCTAAGAAGGCATCGATGAATCAAACAACGAAACATTTACGAAAACACAATCAGCCTGTTGTTTCTGGGAACAATTGTTTTTTAAGTTATTCACCAATAATGTAATTTATTCTTAAACTCAATCACTTGAAATGCATCAAGGCATGCGATAAATAATATTCGCTCACTTGTACCGAATATATTGAATAAGTTGGGAAAAAAAAACAGATATCGGAAAAACATTAGCTATCGGCTCCAAATGGAATTCCTATTCGTTTCATTGATGTGGCTCTGTTCAAAATTTTTGATGCATATAGTGCGGAAATTATATATATATCTCTTTTTTACGATTCTCTCGACATAGTGTTGGAGTAAAATTGTGTGGCCATGGCTAGTAAGTGTTATCAGTGTTTGAATGGGAAATCCATACATCTTACGCTATGCAAAATTGAAGTTTACATTGCCAGAGAAATCTCTGTCAATTTCCGATAAAACCAATTGACATATTTGCAAAAATAACAAAAACAAAAACTATTGAAATTTGTCACCATTTATCATATGTACTTACGATTTGCGTGCGCTTGGATTGGCTTTTTTGCGGGAAATTTTTAGCCATAATTGATTCTTCCATCGCGAAAATGTTTGGGTTTTATCTAGATTTTTTTCACTGCACGATGTTCGTGCTTTACGATTGTACAACACAGACGGGCAATAATCATTGTCAATTAATTGTTGTTGAGTCAGTGTGCATCGGTTAATTCGATTAAGATTTGTATCACTTGCACTTAAATTTCGTTTTCGATTATTATTTAAATTGCCATTGAATAATGATTGTAGGCTGCCACTGAATCGTTGATAAAGCTTTGGAAAACTGATGCTATTTTCGGTTTTCGGAGATGCAGCTGTTGCACTCGTCGTTGATGTTAAATTCTGATTACTTTTAAACAATCGATGTAAGTGTGCGGTAAATCTTTTCGTTTCAACACTTTGTACAGACTTATCACTAGAACTATCAATACTTATGCTGCGTTTAAATGTTTGTCTTGTGGCTTTTGTTTCACTTTTATCAAAAATTATTGACTGTGTATCAATGCATGAGGCCAAATTAAATGCCTCCGAATCAAAATTGGAAGAACGTTGTGTATTCCATGTGTCAGTCTTTCCAATTGTGTTGGTTTGAATTTCGGGCCGCGACGAACAATTTTGATTTGTTGATGTTGACGGTATGCTTTCATTGTGGACGGTTTTTGTTGATATGTTTTGAGTACTATGGTATTTTTTTGATTCGACAAAATTGGTTATAATTGGCGGTGGTGTGCTGGTAATGTGATTCGGTGCAACAGTATTTTTATTCAGTCTTCGAATGTTCTTCGAGCATCCGTTGCCCATATTTTCATTTGTATTTTCAATTGGAGTGCTGGGGTTTGTCGGTTTTCTTGGTGGAGGAAATCGTTTTCGATGACGCTGTCGGAGAAATTAGACGAATTTTTTGTTTTGTGAAAAAAAAAATTTAAAAAAATTGTAGCGGCCATCGTCATCCAAAAAAGACGAAAAAAAAAATGTAAAAATTGAATATTACCTGTGAATTCGGTTGAAGATTTCTCACAAATGGGCTTAGTTCGTTACGTTGAAATTCGTATGCTTGTCGCTCAAAATCCTCCGGAACATCGATCGGTTTTTCATTATATGATTTGTTGGAACTATTTATATATTTTGTCGTTGTATCATTCAATGAATTTCGAATTATGTTCGGCGGTGTAGTTGTATCATCGTTTGATTGTTGTGAAGAATCGTTTATTTCAACAATTGTAACCGATGCGCCTGATACATTTTCTTCGCTGCTAATTCGATTTCGGTCACTGATTGCACGATGATGACGATTTTGTTCATTGTCACAATTAACGGTGATTCGTATCCTATGATCACCTGACAGCTGTTTAGTGCGATTATTTACTTCGTGACGATTTTGTTCGGTATTATTGCGGTAGAATTCTTTGTAGTAGTCGTTAAGCCAGACTTCAGATCCGTTTGTTGTGTTATCTCGAAATGGTTTCGTTTGATATGGCCACCCATTTGAGTGTGATGTATTTCTGCAAGGACACAACGTCGAATGACAAAAATTAAATAGAAAACATTCGGTTAAAAATGAAGACTTGCACGCATATGAAACGATAATTCAATGGAATGATAAAAACATATTGGATATACATTGTGATTAATTAAGCTGACACAAATGTGTTGGTAATCAACAAACAAAAACATTCAGAATTCTATCTTATCAATGAAAAATTTAAAAATTATCTTCATAAAATGTGTGTGTGTGTGCTCTATTTCCAAGTTTGTTTACTTTCGTATCGTGTTAATCCAACACACACACAACGAAACCACCAAAGCGAAACACGATATGCCTTGGGATCATGTGCGAAAGTTGCACTCAAAACCAAAACAAACAAACAAAGCGAATGAGTCATCAACTTGATGATGGTTGATGGAATGGAAAATATGCTGACACCACCATCCGTTTACGATAGTTCAAAGCTACATGGAAATTATGTAAAATTCTGGAAAAGTATTCATTTTAACTTGATGTATTCGACTTTTCAATGTCATACAAAATTGCTTTATTTCGAAAGAAAGGTGCTTTGCATTCGTCTGAATGTCAATAAAAATATGTCAATTAAAAACGGTTGTTTTGAATTAAGTTGGTTCACAAACCATAGCAACGATTCAATAACATACAAACAACATTATCAACATTGAATTACAGTCTCACAACACACTGTTTTGTCGATGTGCACAAATCAATTATTTTTCATAAACAAATGCAGATGTTTTGAAGAACAATCGAGGCTTTTCTTTGTTTGCCAAATCAATAATGATCTCAATATAAGAATATCACAGCTTTTAAATCACTTACACTGAAATATTGCCATTGATTGGGCTCTTGTGCGTCCATTTTGCTTTATCGCCAACGGAATAGTAATTTCTTGTATCATTTGTTGCCAACGATGTTAGATTTATTCCTTTCTTATTGTCATAATTTTTGTTCGGCGATTTATCAATTGAATTGACTGTCCATCGATGATGGTTGTTGGTTTGGTCGTTTATTGAAACAACACCGTGTCGATGGTTTGCATTTCGATTTCTTGTGCGTATATCACAACCACTGCTGTTACTACTTATGCTACTAATGTCACTACTGCCACTGCTACCGTTCACATCGATACTAGAATACCGAAAACCACTGACACCGTTTGGGGCGAGGGCGAAATTATTGTTTATCGCTGACCGCGTCAATCCAACCGTTTTTGGTGGTAGTTTATGGTTGAAAATACTGTTATCCATGTTTTATTTGCAAATGTTACTTTTTATTCGAATGAAGTTGATCGCGTGCCAGCACTAATCAGACACAAAAAATTTATTATTAAGGGTTGGTCAGTCCACTTTATGCTATGCATCACAAATTCACGAATTTGTTTATTTTATTGTCCATATTAAACACATTTTGTCATGATACTTGTTATTTTTTGTTTCACTTCGAAAAAAAATGGCGAATAAAAAAAATCCAATTGGACAAGAAAATGAAAAACTGAAAAAAAAAAAATACTTTGGAGCATTGACACTGGATCGATGTTTGTTGTTAATGCATGCACGGCATTATGTCGTATGTTGGCAGGTGAAGTGGCCGATCGACGAGCAACCAAATAGCGCTAGATCTTTTTCACCATTGAATACAATGCTGGCGCGCGCGCAACCACACCAAACGCAAATGTAAGCGCACATTGTGCACAATGGGTCGACAGTACAAGCGATTTTTCACAACATACACATACTGCGGCCCAGCGAACCAGCACCCATCAAACAACAGCAAATGTAGTGATGGCAGCAAGTGTTTTATGACAATGAACGATCAAAAATCTAAAACTCCAACACGAAACGGATAATAGTGAAGAAAAAAAACACACGCGTATATAGAAAAAACACATAGACAAAAATACACTCATTACTTTCAACTAAATAAAATTGCTATGCTATATTTCAAAACCAAATAAAATAAAAGCGATATACGAACAACAAAAACAATAACGAATAAAAGGCGATCAAATGTACCAGCAGCAGTAGCAGCAATGTACGAACACACAAAATTCTCGTCACGGTTCCGTTCACACAAACGGAAACATCTTTCTTTGTAAAAGCACCTATTTTTGTTCCAAACAAAAGTTCATGACTCCAAACACACCGTACAAATCGTGTGTATGTTGTTTTGTTTCTATTATGTTGTTGCTGTTTTTCGTTGAAATGAGCCCCACGGACAGTTGGATGGGTTACAAGTCTCTGCACATATATATATGTTATACAATTAAATGATTCTTGTGCACTCTTCTGATACGAAATAAGCTTATTCGAATTAGAAACGTGATTCAAATTAGATTTATATCTACCGCGTTTTGAAACGGTTTTGCATGTGTAACCGAAAAAAAAAACAACTTCAACTGGGCTGCAATGTGTCGAGTGACAAAAGTATGACCGCTGGACCACTACTCCGTTTCCATAATGCCAACCAATTTCAATTTCAGTTTTTTTTTTCGTTTCGTATCACGAGTGAAATGAATAAGTCCGTGAATTGCTGGAATTTAATGGGAAAAACTCTCTGTCAAAATCAATTGAATGCGTGTATCTGCGTGTTGACTACTTTTTTTCACTTCTTATTTCATTAGAATCGTATGCTGTTTAAGTGTGTGAAACGAATACACTCAATCATTTGCAAAGAAAGCCATTAATTCAAATATGTTCCAGTTAAAAACAAACTCTATATTGAAGAAGACATTAACCAACAGTTCAACGGTGTCCCGTTGAAATTAATGCGAATAAATTTAATTTGATGTGGCAAAGACCATTGTGTACTGGCCCAAGTTTGTGGACTCGTGCCTTTGTTTTTCTTTTTATTTTTCATATATAAATTTCATTCTTCGTTGGAATTGTATGCATTTGTGTCGCTGTTTGACTTGACAATGTCTCTTTAAAATCGAGGGCGCTCGTCGTTCACACATATACTGAATTTCGTTTAATTAATTAGATTGAATTCTGTTTAATTGCTGCAAATTGATGTAGGAGAGGCCGCTATAGAAGAGCGTTCAATACAACGAGATTTTTTTTTAGTCTTTACTGTTCTACGGTTCGGAGAGCTATTCGGAGGGCGAGCTATTGAACATTTTTCGTGATCACGAATCAAATTCTAGCTAGAAAAATGATGAAATCAGTTACATCTTGCATAAATTAAAGCCGTGCGATCATTCATGAGACGCTTGCTTAAAGAGTGTTGCATTATTTTCATTGCCGATTACTTCAACAATGACCATTTGTTAAATGGTTAACCATACAAGCGTTTCGTGCCATGCTGAAGAAGATATACAACAACCAAGAAAAATAAGAAAACCAAGAACAACAACAACAAAATTATCGTAAACAATAATAAAACGGTTGCATGATTTCGATTTCATTTTATTTCCTTTCGCCATTTTACTTACATATACAAAACGATAGGGCATTCCGATCGACGTTGTTCTACGGACTATTTTGTTGTGCCGTAACATTTTGTGCAAAAGAAATCGCTTACATTGTGATGATTTTTGATTTTTTAACACGAAAAGTTCCCAATGCGTATATTTTCGTGTTTTTATATTACTCGATATACCCGCGTGTGTGTGTGTGTTTAAAAGTATGGACATTGCATGACCAAGTTCAAATGATGACGATTGACGATATACATGATAATTATAAATCAACTCTTTTGGGATCGTATACGTGCCAAGCGCGTTCTACATCGAATACAATGTAGAACAATGTGCACTCAATGTTCTCATTGAACAATGACTGTTTGGTCACTGTTTCTTTGAATTTATTTTCGTTGTATCTCTCTCGCTCCATTCCTCGTGCAATTGTTGTCGAAACCGTTTCATGTAAAAATCCATTCGATTCGACTTGTTAGAATCATTTCTTCTGTTATTGTGTTTAAGCGTGAAAATGGTGAATATAAAATAAACATCACTAATTGAGTGAAAAAATAAATCAACGAATGATTGATTATTTCGACGTTTATTCGCCACTTGGAAGGTCATAACAAGCAAACTATTAATAAAATTTAAATCATGGAACAAAAATTCGTTTTCTTTCCGTTTCTTTTCATATCATTTCATTCCATTCCAAATTTCTTGCATAATATATTCCACATCATAATCACCATGATCTAAATCATAATTAAATATAATTATGCAAACATTTCCACATCACTCGCACTTTTGAAAGTGGAATAGTTTATATATAAATTTAGAGATTTTGTTGATAGATTGGAACATTTAGCGTTGGATACGTTCGGAGTTGTTGTAATTCCAATGTTGCGCTCAATTCCAACAGTTCAGCATGTTGTTCTTGTATCTTTCGGACCAATTTCGAACGCTTTAATATAATGGACATTCTATGAAATGGAACCAGATAAAATGCAATCTATAATTTGGCCAAGTGCATGATGAAATCGAATAAAAAATCTGCTTTTTTACCGTTCATTTCGTGTAATTATGTCTTTTTCGCTAATCAAATAATCTTGGGCTATGTTTCGTTCATCGATATTCACTTTCAGCGCTGCAATTTGACAATCAAGTTCGTTATTCTTTTTACGTTCTCTTGACACAACCGTTTCGATCTGTTCGATTCGTTTCATTCTAATGAGAGAAAAAAATGTATGATTTATTACGTCAAACGGCCATTAAAATGGGAATTTCTGCTTCAAAATATGACTAACAGTGCACTTATTGTATTCGACGTGTCATTTTTGTGTTCATCAGGCGAAGGTTCTTGATGGATTTGGTTTTTGATTTTCTTTGGTTTGGCCGCCATTTTTTCGTGTAGCCATAGCTTCACGTCTTTTGTGATCTGGAAAAGTGAACAGTTTTATAAGAGAAAAGTAAAATTATTTTAATAACAGGGTAATGCGGTCATGTGCATCCAATGATAAATACACTGCACTTTTCGATTCGTTTGAGAATGATTTTATAATCCTCTATTGTCATTTGTAACATTGACTGTTTCCATTCGTAATAGGCAACGCGACGATGGCATAAATCGACCTGTTGCTTAATTTTTAACTTTTTCACTGCAGCTTCCTGTTGTTCCCATTTAATTTTTGTTGTTGTTGATGTTTTGGGCGCAAGTTTATTCGTTCATGCGCGAACCATTGAAGAAGAAAATAAATTTCCGTTATGTTTTTATTCAAATTAATTTAATTTCACCAGCGTCAACCGTAAAGGAATTTACCTGTATCAATGAATTTGTTAGGGCCAATTCAGATTTGCTCAATATCGTTGTTGCGTCAAAGTTATCCATTTCACCAGTTAACGGTATTTTAATGTTACCAAGTTTGAATACCATTTGATTTTTTCGATTGAACACACAATTTTCCTGACAATTTTTTCAAAACAAAATACTATTTCATACAAATCCGTTGCAATTATTCTAATTCATAGTTTACCTTTGCCTCTCTGACTTCATACAGTTTATTGTCTAATTGAGTGAGAAGCGCTCTTTTTGTGCCGAGTTGTTTATTGTTTGTTGCAAGACTGGATTCAGCTTCAGCCAAGATTACTGTTGCATGTCTTAGCTATATAAAATAATTTGAATGTTGCTTTTGTTCACCAATGGCTAGTAAAAACTATTCCAAAAGGCCACAAAAAATGACGTAAAATGGCAATTTTTTTTTCGAATGTCCGGTCTTTTTTATAATCCATTGATAAATTCCATGCAAATTGGCATTTTGCGTCATTTACAACTTGTTTAATTGGCCGAACAAGTGAGAGTTTTGATTAACTATATGAGATTGAGAGTACCTTAAACTCAGTTTCAATTTTCGTTCTTCGCATTTTGCATAAATGATTCCATGCCGATTGATCAATTGAATTTGGTGCATTGCTAAATTTATCGTTCGCATCAAGAGACTGTAAATATTGTATACACTCATCTGATAATAATGTTTCGTCTTGATGTTTTTTATTTATGGTATTAACACGTTTAATCATAGCAGCAAGAATAGTAGACGATTGACATGTGGTTAAACGACCTTTCGGACGTCGTCTGGAATTTCACAACTTAATTCAACGGAAACAACAGCAAAACTAAAAAAAAATGTCATATTACACTCACTTAAAAATGCGATATGCCTGATCAATAACAGCGGCTGATACAATATCTGAGAAAAAGGTGCGAAATTGCTTATCTAATGACTGATCTTTTGCCGTCAATTCTTCGAAATTGATCTTTGATGCAACGACATTTTGATCTAACATTTGTTGGATTTTCATAAGATTATTCAGTTCCGACTTCAATTGTTCTTTTTCCAAACTAAAATGGAGAAATTTGTTTGACAATTTGAGAAAAAAAACCCAAATATTTCTGATTTACTAACTGAATTTGTTTCTCTTTTTTGCAAAATCCCTTGAATTTCAGGTGATCTCGAACGCAAGTTAAAATTTTGAGTTGTTCAGACGAGATGGCAAATTGTGCCTTCACTTTGGTTTTAATGATATTTTCCAAGCATCGATTCAATTTGCTCACCATCAATTCAATGGCAGTGTCTAAAGCACTCTTTTCTTCAAATAATTTGCCAATATATTCACGACGATCCATTCGAATTTTGGTTATTTTCTCACGGTATTTGTCAATTTGTGCCGTTTCCGCTGCGGTGAACTGAGAATCTGGAATATTTTGTAACATGCATGGTGGTTTTGGTGGTTCTTTTTTCAATTCATCTTCCCAACAAACTTGCAGAACACCGTCCATCATATCGTCTAAAGCTCGTTCATAAAATGACTGATTTCGAGTTGTTTTCAATGATTTGGCGGAATCTTGTTCGGAAATGTCATCAAACTGTGAGTCTATGTTGTAAGTTGAAATGGCCAACATTGTCGAATGCGTACTATCATCTTTAAAATAGTCGCATTTTTGTATTGGATCAAATTGTGTAATTTCGTCGGCATTAAGTCGCTGCAAAAGGTTAATATCTTTATGAATTTGATCCAAACGTTCATTACGCTGTGCCATCAATTCCATTTCATTGTCTTTTACTTTCGACATTTTCACAAACATGTCATTGAATAGTTTCTTCAGCCGAACAATATTATGCTGAAAAATCATTATACATTGAATCACCTTGAATAATGGCACGAAAATAACGTTAGATACTCACATAGATTTTTATATTGTACGTATTCACCGCGTGTTCATCACGAATGTCAACGTTTTCCGGTGCCATTGGCAATATGCTGAAGAAGTTATAATCTAAATTTACCTTTGATGTCAATTGTTGGTCAATTATTTTCGATGCGAATGTGCTGAAGCGATCGGTGGTTTTTGTCGATTGTATTTCGCTTTCTGGCCACTGAATATGCTCTTTGCTCACAATATTCGGATGAATCCATGGTTTAAGCTTACAAATTTGAGCGAATAATTCTGGATTCTCAAGCACTTTAATCAAATTGTTTTCATCGCCAAGTTTTTCATCCAACGCAGTGAGTGGAAAATTTTGTATGAAAATATCGGTGAAAATGCCATGCACTTTTTGCGGCTTTGTTTCAAAACAATCCCAAATAATTCGTTTTATATTCTCAATTCTTGCTTTTTCATCGGCGAATGTCTTTTCCAACATTTCGCGTTCCAATTCGATTTGCTCTTTTAGGGCGCCACTTTTGATGTCGGCCTCGGTTGCATTCAAATTGAAAAACTGAATCGGAAATTGCTCCTCTTGCGGTTCATTTTCATTCATATCTATGTAATTGACAATCGTTGTTTTGATTCGATCTAAATCTTGTTGCATTTCATCTAATTGAGATTTGTAATTTTCACATTCTTCTTTGGACAAACGAGCCAATTCAACGTTTTTCCATGATTCGACTGGGGATGATTCTAACATTTCATCAATGTTGACTATTTCAATTTTCTCCGTTTGCGATTCGAATGGGGCATTTATCCATGTAAAATCGAAAGTTTTCGTAATATTTTTAAAACATATCACATTCTCACTACAACTAAGTGTCACCAAATATCTACATCGGAAACATTGAAAATAACATTATTGATAAGAGCTGTTTACTCTTTAGAGCTAAATGAAACCTGCCTTTGTAACGGATCAAAAATCGCATCCTTGACACCTTTTGAGAATTTATCATGTGCGATTACTGATTTAACCAATCGCATCGAATTCTTATCCCACAATTGAATTTGACCATCGCATCCAAATGTTAAAATCGACGATGCGTTCACGGTGAATTTTATTGGACCAAATAAATGTGTAGTTGGGATTGTCTGTTGTATATTCATTTCTATTTTACCATTTTCACCACAAATGCATTGAACTATATCGATATCTGTCAATCGTGCGCATAATATAAACTTATTTACATCATAATATTGAAATTGTGCGGCCGAATAGTGGTTTTTCATTGGAATTGTTTGTAATTGATGTGAATACTGTGTTGTTTCTTCAATTGTAAGATAATCAAAAATACTAGATTGTGATTCATTTGAACCAATTCCACATTTTTCATGCAACATTAGCGCATAGAGGTTTCCATTTATTTTCACCATCGAATAATCCAAGTAGCTACGTTCGAGTACAATAAACTTTTTAATATCCTCATTATTATTCGTTTCTCTTTTAATTGCGAATAAACCGTTTTCATTGTCAATTGCAATTGAGATCGTGGAGTTCGGTATAAATTTAATAAAAACAATTTTGGACGAAGTTAAATTATATTTTGCTATGAGATCAGCATTGCCCCGTTCATCAATTTCCAAGAATAATATTGTACCGGATGATGTAGCAACACCAACAATCGAACATGTTTCGTGAGACTCAATGCAACTTACGCCACTCAAAGCGTACTTTGAAACCTAAGTTAATTATAACAATTGAAATAGATGTCACAAAAAATGAAAAATTGATTTTGTTTACTTCGAGACCAGATTCAGCTTGCACCACGATTATTTCATCCAAATTTGTTTGTAACATCAAAAAAGTACCGCGTGGATTGATGAGAATACATTTTTTTACAACCCTAAAAAAATGTGATTTTTTCTTATTTTTCGTTTGTAAATTGATTTGTTACCGATGGTAACTTACCGTTTCAACGTAGTAATTGCATTTAAAATTCCATTGGATTTCTGCTCATGTAACTTATCGACAATGCCATCTATTGAGAGTAAAACAATTGAACTGATATCTACACTCATCAATATCGCTGGTGTATAGTTCAAGTCAATGGCCCATATGATAGACCAGTCATTTTCCGATTTTTTAAAAAACTTTAAGGACAAATTTAATGATTCAATCAACTGATGAATGTTTAAAAATGGAATTTTGTATTTACATTCAATTTCGATTGAAAATCACCGACAACAATTCCATTTTTGTAACTGATAACAGGAATGAGATTAGCATTGATCGTTTCTTGAAAATTGATTATTTTGAAAATTTTATTTTGAGACGGATTAATCTGCAATTCGAACCAAAATGAAAAAAAATATTAACGCGATTTTCGAATATCAAACAATGAATGTTTATCAAAAGGTCGAATAAAAGTTGACTTTTACATGCCAAATTCCAGTTGCGTGCGCAATAAAAAGTGATCCTTCTGAATCAAAAGTTCCCTTCACATCCGATATTTTGTTTTGAATTTCCAAATTAAAAATCGTTTTATGCGCTATCGTCACGTCAAATGTTAAATCAACTGATGAACTCACTTCCCACACAATTATTTTCGATGCATTTTTTGCCATTTGGGCAATGACTAACGGGTGCATCAGACTACATCTTTGATTTATAAAAAAAATGATAAAATGTGAATGAGTAGTAGGTAAGTACTTAATTCTCACTCATTTCTGTTTGGCATTAGACGATCTTACTGTATGTATTGATTATCATCAAGAAAATCGGTTGTTTGCACAAGTAGTTGGATGCCAGTGCGCCAATTCCAAATTTCAATGAAATAATTTTCGCAAAATGTTAAGGCGATCAAATGATCGCTATCCCAAAATTCAATTTGTCGATAAAACCCCGATGTTGATTTATCTAAAAAGTGGTTTATTTTCAATCAAAAAACATAGAAAATACAAACCGTTTAGGATTTCTTACGCTTAAGTTGTCCGATGCATTCATTTGGATGTTTGAATAAAATGATACGCGGAGGTGTTGTAATGTCTCCAATTGCATAAATTGGTTCATATTTATGACCCGAAATGCAAGAAATTCCACAGATGCCTTGGTTCGCCACTTGTTCATCGATGACATAATGGTGTGTTACTTCACCATTTTCAATATTTACAAATCCAATGGCATCGTACTTGTTAAATGCCAGTATACTTTGATTAATGACACTGTAATTGAATATTTCTGGAATTTTTGACGAATGATTCATTTTGTTCGGGTTTTGAAAGGCGAAAAATTGAAAGATTTTAACTATATTTCAATAGAAAGTATTGAGTAAAAGGACCAAATTGTAAACAATGACTTTCAAATCGAACCAACTAAATATGGTAACTATGGCAACGCATGTGATTTGATTGAATGTTCAGTTTTATTAATTCGTAAATAAAATTGAAAAAAAAAATGATGTACAATTTTAATAATAATGTTATGTAAACATTGAAGTTAAAATGTTAATTAATGAAATGGAATTTATCATTTAGTCGGATGCCTTCTCTGCTTTTGGTGCAACTTTCAATGCTAAACGCTTTTCATAACTGAACTTCTTCTTCTTCTTTACTTTGTCCTGCGAAAAAACAAATGAAAAAAAAATCATTAAAATCCATCCATCACGTAAAATTCTTTCCAAACAAATTGCTTCACACCTTTTTCACGACATTGCTTTTTACTCCTAAGAATTCTTTGTTTTTCTTCTTTTTCTTTTTGTCCGGTGATGATGCATCGTTGGCCGTTTGTTTCTGTTTATTTGCATTCTTCTTCTTTTGAATGGGTTTGGATGTTTTCTCTTTTTTCACCTTTTTCTCGTCGGTTGCCTTGTTTGCTTTGTACTTTTCAACACGTACTTCACGATCCAAAATCGGTGTTCCGTTCAATTTTAATGCCAGTCCACATGATTCTGGATTCACAAATCGAATAAATGCCACACCTTTGCAACCGAGCGCCGATTGTACGACACGAATATGCTCGATTTCACCGCAGCATTTGAACGATTCACGCAATATATTTTCGGTGACGGCTAGAGAGAGATTTAAATAAATTTTCGATATTATTCGGACTTTCTTTTAATTTCAATCTCTATCAAAATGAGAAAATGTCTTACCATATTTTAAATTTCCAATAACAACCGTATTTTGTGGCTTAACGTTAGTTGCCTTTTCTTTCGTATCCAAATCAACCGTAATTACATTGTCTCCGATTTTTTCACCGCTAAGCGCAGTACTTGCCTTCGCTGCTTCCGGTGTTTCAAAATAGATGAATGCAATCAAAAATGGAACTTTGTTCAATTGAGCCTTTCGCAGGAATGATTTTCCCGTGTTTGTGCGTATACGAATCGATAAAATCTTCCCAAACTTTTTGAACATTTTCACCAGTTTAACGCGCTTAATATTAACTGGCAAATTTCCAACAAATACTGGCACCGCATTTTTCAAATGGTGTTCTGCAAGATATAGTTTTTTTTTTGGATCAAACAAAATTATTACCATATAACATAAAGTCGATATTTTGTTTAAGAGATTAAACTCAACTAACCTTTTTTAACAGCAGCTCCACCATCGCCGACCTCTTCAGCGTCATTTTCTTCATCTACTTCTTCTTCCTTCTTTACAATTGGTTTAGTGGCTTCTTGTTTTTGCTTTTGTTTTTTGTTTCCTGGTTGTTTTGGTGTTGGGTTTTGTTTAGCTTTCTTCGGTTGTGGTTCATCGGTCGGTTCTGATTTCACTTCAACGTTAGTAGCAGCACGTTTCTTATTTTTATTTTTATTTTTCTTGGGCGAATTTTCTTGAGCTTGATTTACTTTTGCTTCAGTTTTAACACCAACGTTGTTTGGTTTGACCTGTTTCTGCTTTTTATTCTCGTTTGCCTTTCCTTTTTGTTGTTGCTGTTGTTGTTTTTGGACGGGTAACTTTTTCTCTGGTTGTTGAGCTACTGCCTTGGCTACTTTCTTTGCGGCTGCTGCTGCTTTAGCTGCTTTTGCTGTATTTTTACCCTCTTTTTTATTTTCATTGACTTTTGAAGCTACAGCGATGGTTTCGTCTTCAATGCCATGCTCTTTTTTAAGCGATGCCAGCAAGTCAGTGACCTCCGTTGAAATTAATTTAAGTTCCTTTTTGTCGATTTTTGGTGCATTACCCAATGTTTCTGAATCGGATATATCCGAATCCGGTTCGATTTGCTTTTGTTGCTTTTTCAATTTAATTTGTTTGTTTTTATTTTTTGAAACTTTCAACGTTTTCTCCGTCATTTTTACAATTGAAATGGTTAATCGATCTGAATTCACACAAAATTATAAACGTCTCTCTCGTCCACGCTGTTTTATTGATATCAGTTCAACATGTGTACCCGGCTGTCAAAAGCGATAATCACATGGGTGCAGATGTCGCCACTTGGATATCGAGAACAATTTCATCTTTGTTGCCGTCATTTTTGATTCGGTGCCGATGTGTGCGTATATTTATATGTTCTTGGCTCTGTGTGAGACCATTTAATTGTATATCAGGCCAATGTATGGTACAAACTTGATACGTAAACAAATGAAATCACTCAGCCAAAATAAACAAATGCTCATAAGGTGAATTCATTCTACCAAAGAAATTGATAGATGAGTAATTTGCAACCGGAACAAAGCACGCAAATGAATAATTATAAATTGTAAAACACATTTATTTGCTCTTTTAATAAGAATGTATTCAATTTTATTATGCAACCATAATCTCTGAAGAAAATTCTAGTCTAATGAAGCCATTCTGAATTAATTCTCTTCGTTTCGCAATCAAAAAAAGAAAAAGAAAATGTTTTTTGTTTGTTTGTTTGTTTCATAAAGTTAAAAATAATCATTGTAAATAGAAAAAAACTCACACACAATCATGAAACGAAAATTGGTTAGTCGATAGTTCGTGATTCGTATCCAATTTCATTACATTTTCTAATCAAAGCATAGGTGACCGCTTTGTTTACATCAATAATTTTTGCTATCCATTTATGGACAAAAATGCGGTTGGCATGCGAAAAAAAAGCAACATCACACAAACGACAGACTTTATTTGCTTCTGATACCTTAAAAGTAGTTATTGATTTTTTTTTCTTTGATTTGCTTTTTTTTCTCTCTTTCTTTCAATTAATTGTTTAAACAAAATAAATATTATAGGAAAACTGTATGAAAAACAAACTCTTTGAAAAAATATAATTTTTTTGTTTTGCTTGCAAACATAAACGCGAAATATTTGTTTGTTTCGTTTTTTTATAGGAAAACTGAAGGGAAGTAACATCCTGCACGGACTGAATAAATATATTTAGTTATTTAATATGCGTATGAAAGTAGAAATATATTGTTTCGTTTTTATCAATTGGCAGTTAGTTAATTTGGCGATAATCGCTTTTCTAACTGTTTCGAATAAAATACGTATATTGTTTGATATTGAGTTATTTGTTTGTTTAAAAAAAAAAAAATGCTGAACTTATTGCCTTTTTGTGACACATATATCTCTAGTATATTTCTTCGTCCATTTTAAATCCGCACGCGCCCAAATGTTTTATCAAACTGCATTTAGCCAAGACTTTCGACACAAATGGTGCTTAGGCCGCCATTTCCATTGACGGTGGTCTTGAATTGTTCGGGAATCGGATGCTCGGTGAAATCTCCAGCCGTTCCTTTGGGAAGCAATACATTCATTTCAGATGATTTGGACGATATAATTTCGACGTTCTTCGATTTTTCGGACAAATACATTTGACAGCCATCGGTTTTATCAATTGAAATGGTTGGCACATGACCTAATACTTGCATTTGCACACTTTGGCAATTAACAAACTCAATGGATGACACAACCGTATCAAATACTACAGCACATTTTTTGCATGAATCCAAGAAGATGCTATTTATCTTTCCTTTGACATTAATTGTTGAATTTTCACACTTGAACACGTACACAACGTTATTCATTTCAGCACCGTCAACAACCAGATCACGATTATTTTTCTGGTATTCAATGAGCCATTTTTTGCCATCACGATTGAAGACAGGCGCTTTAGCTGTTTCAACTGGTTTTGCACCTGGCGCTACCGGTGATGCAGTTGGTGCCTTGAATGGAGCTGGACCGGTACGTAGGCCAGGATTTTTATGTGTTTGCATTTCAGCTGTGACACGTTTCAATCCCTTTGTAATGTCTTCACCCCGATTGATTTGAGCAAACAATGCACTGCGACCATCGTCCGAACCGTCAGCATTCAATGACATATCACCAACTGGTGGTAATACTGGTGGCGGTGGTGGTGGTGGAGCGGCTGGACCACTTGGTGGTGCTGTCTTTCCAGCCCAAACCAAACCGGTTGTGTGATGTTGTTTGATATATTGCTGCAATTCGGACAATGTTTGCACCCATGAACGGGCCCATTCAACATGGGTGGCATCCTTCTCTTTCCAATCCTTCAACACACGATTTGTATAAAATTGACCGGCATCGTTCATCTCTTTGACATGAGGTCCAGGTGTTGGTGATACGCATACCCAACCCAATGCCGGAACACTCTCGCTGATTGCAGACAAATGATTGAAAAACGGTGACGTACGATGCTTCTCACGGAATTCCTGAATTGCCGAAATTTGATCGGATGTTGGCTTCAATAGATTGGGCAATTGAGTTTGTGTCGGTTGGCTGGAGGTCGATGCCAATTGAATGAATGCCAACTGGGCGTTGAAGGCCTTGTTCACAAATTCAGCTTGTTGCGCCACATCACCACCAATTTTTGCCGACAATTGCAAATATTGGGCAAATGGTCCACTCAATATATCTTGAAATCCGTACACGCTCATCTCTCTGGCTAATTAATTCGCTTCACAATTTCGAAAACAAATCTAGTTATGCAAATCGAGTGTGAAATAGAATAAATACAAAAGAATTTTTAATATTTCTCGTTTTAATGGGGCGCAATTCTAGACAACTTTGCGAATTATAATGAGAGCAGAAAAAATAACAACTTTAAGATGAATTATGATGTGTTGAAAAAAAAAATGAATTTAAATCGAAATGAATTATGACGAAGAGAAGTAGAGAGAGAAAAAAAGAAGAAAATTGGTTACGTACGTGTTTACAATTTATCACAAACGGTTTACTACGATGAGAGCACTCTTTAAAAATGAATACGGGCTTTGGGATTGGTCAGTGTCTGCGGTTGAAACGATGATAAATTTCACGATTTATAAATATTCACAATACTTTGAAACCTTGGTGATACACCCACTCGCTGACTCAACGTTGATCGGCATCCAATTTTCCAGTCAAAAAACTACAATTACATAAAATGTGTCATATCACTTAAAATTCGATCTATTTATCATTGATTAAACGAACAATTTTTGACAAAACAATCGACAATTAACAATCATTCGACGGAAATAAATTACCTCAATTTGAAAACCGAATACACACACTTAGTCACACAAAGAGAATGACTTTTGTTTTTAATGACGATGATGATGATGCGTATGAAGACGAATTGAGTTTATATAGCGGTATAATGTCAGCAAATCTGATGAATATATATATTAAATACAGTGCTGCCACACGACGCAATACTAAAACAGCGAAACAAAAACAAACGACCGAAACACTGAACATTGTATTCATCGGTGGCGCTAGCTGCATTGCCATTTTTTTCGCTCATCATTTGTCTGGAAGTCGCTCGTTTTTTGACGTTTTCTACAGTTTATTTCTTTTAAAAGATAAATAAATAATAATGGAAAAGTGGCCTTTTTTCAAGTAGAATAAAATCGATTTTATTTTAATTTCGATTGATTAAAATCAAAATTGAAAGTTTACAAAAATAGTTTAGTTTAAAAATTGGTTTGTCGGCGGAAAATGAGAGAAATATTAAAAATAAAATGTATTTTCTTTTATTGAAAAATAAATGCAGTTTTAAACATCTACCGATCGGCTCAATTGATCGGCGATTGCATCGAGAAAATCTTCGGTGTTCAAATACATGGATTCGGTGACATTTGGTAGTCCGTGAATGCAACCAGCTAAATCTTTGGTCATGAGACCAGCTTCGACCGTATCCACACATGCCTTTTCCAATGCAAGTGCAAATCGCTCCAATTCGGGTGTATCATCTAATTTGGCACGATGAGCCAATCCTCGTGTCCATGCATAAATCGAAGCAATTGGATTCGTTGAGGTTGCTTTTCCCTTTTGATGTTGACTGCAATTGTACAGGTGAAGATTTTCATTTTTAGTAATATTTATCAAAATGAATTAATTTTGACAAAAAAAAAACAATCATACCGATAATGTCTTGTTACAGTTCCATGTGCAGCCTCTGATTCGATTGTTTTACCATCTGGACATACCAATACCGATGTCATCAAACCAAGCGATCCAAATCCTTGAGCAACAATATCAGATTGTACATCACCATCATAATTTTTACATGCCCAAATAAATTTGCCCGACGATTTTAAGCACTGAGCGACCATATCATCGATTAAACGATGCTCATACCAAATGTTTTGTTTTTCGAAGGCGCTTTGGTATTTTCTGTATGAAAAAAAAGGTAACAAATAATTTTTGGTTAATTTTTTTAATTAATTTTTGTATTTAAAATGATGTCGTACTGTTCGTAGATTTCTTGGAAAATGTCCTTGAAGCGGCCGTCGTATTTTTTCAAAATTGTATTTTTGGTGGACAGATAAAGTGGCCATTTTTTGAGCAACGCCATTTGGAAGGACGAATGGGCAAATGAAGCAATTGATTCATCTGTATTGTACATTCCCATGGCAATACCACGATCCTTGTAGTCAAATAGTTCGTATTTATCTATTTTGCCAGTTGAATCTGCATTTACGTGAGTGTAAGATGCAACAAATTATCTCTGTTAATTTTCATTGGTTTATTATAAAACGATAAAAGAAAATTTTACCAGTAAAAACCAATTCCAGTTTTCCAGGTCGATCGATGACAACATCAATGGCTTTGTACTGATCACCGTGAGCATGACGACCGATAACAATGGGATTCGTCCATCCTGGTACAAGTCGTGGAATATTTTTACATAAGATTGGCTCACGAAACACTGTACCACCCAAGATGTTTCGAATGGTTCCATTCGGTGACAGCCACATTTTTTTCAATTTAAATTCTAAAATTGACAAAAACAGTAAGCCCACTCAAATAATTTGATCCATGAAAATGGCAAAAATGAAACCAACCTTCAACCCGTTGTTCGTCTGGTGTGATGGTTGCACATTTGATGCCAACATTATGCTTTAAGATGGCATGCGATGCGTCGATGGTGACTTGATCATTTGTTAAATCACGATGTGGTAGCCCCAAGTCAAAGTATAAGCATTCAACCTGAAAGTGCATAAAACAAGCAATGGGTCATTGAACCAATTGGTAATGATGTCGCGTGTTATCATAATGCATTACTTTGACATAAGGAAAAATCAGTTTATCCTTAATGAATTGCCAAATGATTCGGGTCATTTCGTCTCCATCCATTTCGACAACCGGCTTAGCGGCAACAAATCGCTTCGCAGTTGCATCTGAGAGATGAAGGAAAAACCAATATTAAAAAACAACGAAATGATATACAAGTAAACATTGATGAAACAAAAATTAATAAAAAAGACACACAAAGCCAAGTGTGAGAAGATAAATAAACGAAAAGGTTTTTGGATTCGATGCACGATTTTTTATTTGCTGTGTGAAAAAGTCCTTGAAATTGGTGTTTAGCAGCGGTTATATCTATATTCGTGTGTCTTTTCAGCCACATTGGCCGAAACAATCTGATGGTAACGCGTACATGTTCGTCAAAGTTCTTTGACCCTCAGTCGTCTGCTGTGCATAAACTGAACGTGCTGAATCCTTTCGATGGGAAACTCGCAGGTTTATAAGTGTGCAGTGTTTTTTTTTTGCTTATACATTATAATTCGTACTCTTTTTTCGGTGGATTGATTCATTTCAAGCTTTATTTCAGCACACCAATTCGAATTTTGAAACCTGTTTGCTTCACATTCGACTGTGAGTACATTATCTGTGTTGCCATGGGTTTTCATTGCATGTCTGGCATTATGTACGTTCTTTCCTCAATTTTGTTTTGTTCATTCGTCTTATTCTACATTTCGTTCTCTCTGTCCCCCTTTCTTACTTTTGCCTTGATTCGGTGTGTTCATTTTACGGATGAATTACTGGAATGAAATTATATTTACGGAACGTGCATGATGTGTATATGTGATGTGCGTGTCTGGTCGACTTTGTATTGCTCTGCAATTACACAGAATGTTGGAGAGCGAAGTGCCGGTAATGGTAGCAAATTAATGACAAATATGATATAAAATTCCATCACAGTTAATGACAGTGATGATGGCTTATGCAAAGTAATGCAATGCATCGCAAGGGAATATACGATTTGTGAGAAATGCCGTGGAGATCATCTGTAAGAGACGCATAAAAACATGGAATACGAATGAAAGGGCTTGAGACGCGCTTGACCGCGATGAAAACTTGATTGATTTTTTTACATGTAATCACATGCTGATATCAGGTTTCAGTTTCACTTGCGGTGCAATGTCGCAATATATCTCACAAAACTATGTTGAAATCTAAGGAGAGACATAGAGAAAGAGAGATGAAGGAAATCGCATAGCAAGTGGAAAAAATAAAGATATTCTAATCATGTTCGGACGCATTGAGTAGCGCAATTACTCGTTCAGCATTGATTCAATACACACAATTATAATCTAAATGGGTGAAGTATGCGTAGTACGAATGAATGACGCAAAGTGAATTTCGTGCATCTAGACGGGGCTTCTATTATCACTATCAATAAAAAACCAGAAATCACGATAACCGCACGTCAGCCGTCAATTGAAAAATGTAACAACAAAAACTAAAAAAAAAAACAAATGAGAAATAGTTGACGATTGAGGAAAAAAACAACATCCATTCAGCATTGAACCATACGAAGACGCAATAACATCAGAAGAAAACATGCATCGAAAAAATGACACACACTACATGAATGAGTGAACGAAAAAAAAACGCTAATCATCAACTTTGGAACGGTGCTACAAATAGAAAATCAACAAAGTTATGTGACCGAAATAGAGACGAAATTTTCATTTAAATTGAGCAAATTGCCATTTATTATTTGCTCATGATTCGAGATCAACTCAAAATTCGCACATTGACGATCAGAGAGGAATAGAGTTGTTTTTTTTTTTTCTATCTCACTTGTGTCTTGCATTTTTTTTCGCTTTTGACATTATCTGTGTCACTTACAATTTCGGCATGGGCTCGCATTTATCAACGCTGATTTGTCCAAAGCAGATAAATTTCGCAAAATTTTCGCGTTACTGCAATAGTTGATGTGATTGTAGCACTTTTGCATATTAAATAGAACTCGCGACATAATATTGAACTTTTTTTGTGGAAAAAATATTAAATGCGATGTAGCAATTACTGCTGATGATTATATTAAATACAAGATTTTTAATAATAAATTCCAAAATGAATTTATAACGTAAAAGAAAACAACGGATTTTCGAATGCACACAAAAACACAAATCGGAATATACCGCCACTCAGCTGCTTCAATTGCACACGGGCTCTTTAACCGGTAACTTGTACAATACTAAGTTCTAACCAATTTTTGATTGCAGCCGAAACTGACAGAAAGGCACAACAACAACACTGACACCGAACGCAAGCAAACCCGTGTAAAATTCAAGTGGAGTGCGAAAAAGCACGTATACCCTAAAACGGTTTGGATGTCGTCGTCGTTGTTGCCGTCGCCGCCGACACCGTTGTCGTTGCTTTCGTCGTATACGTTGCCGCTGTTGTTGCTCTCTTCTACATATTATATGTTTTGTATTTGAATTTTTACTGTAGACTCTTGTTCTTTTTTTCTGTTCGTTCGTTTATACGAGCGCATTTGATGCCTTCGATTTAGCTATTTTGATTTGATACCCTTTTCTTAAAACATGGCATTGGCTTATGTGTTTGTTACTTCAAATGTAAATGTAAATATATAATGAATGTTATTGTGTGCATAAATGCTGGCATGATATAATTGTTGCTGTTGACTATTATGCGATTTCTTGTGTTCCACTTTTTCCGACTGCGAAACGATCGAAGCCTACTCATACGAAAATGATAACGACAAATGTGACTGGCATCCAACCTAAGTTCTTTTTTTAATTCATCTGAATCACTATTAGCTCATGTCTTATACTTGAGTCAATATCACCGTATTTTTGTAGCTAAAAATGATAAGAAAACACTTGATCTTATGCTATGGAATTTCAATAACAATCGTGTCTCATTTCTCGTGATGCATAACCAATCACAATGAACCATCTGGCGCGGACGAATGTCCTATGATCGAACGATAACATCAGCACATTTTGAAATGAATTGAGTAAATATACGTTGTGCATAGAAAAAAACATTGCATTATTTTCCACGAAGTACGCATGCACAATATGTGTGTGCGACCGCTGTTGCCTCAACCAACATAGATTCAGTTGAACATTCTCTTCTTGAACAATGCTTGCCGCCATACAAAATTGCACTAACGCGTAATATATAATTTTATAGACAAGCATTTCTTAGTCGCCCATTTTACACGGTAATAAAGTCAAAATATAATAAGAATGAAAAAGCGTGAACAAAACAACAACTTCAAAACATGAATATAAAAACAAAAGGTTGATGTGAAAATTAAATATCGCATAGAGATTATGGAAGCTGAAAAGAAAAAAAAACGTTTCCATTCTACCGCCACATTTAGTTTGAACTAAAAAATCGAAGAACAATAGTGAATTATTTTCGCGGTAACGTTATCATAAAATTGGATGGAATTCATTCAGAAAAAAATGATGACATAGGAACTGATAAAAATGCAGTAATTGAGAAAGAGAGACAGTGTGAAAAAAATGATCTCATAATTTCCATTTGTTTCGTTTCAACTGACAACACAGTCATCGTTGTAAATTATCAAAACAGTCGATTTCGAAGGAGGAGGAGGCCATCAAACATAAACAAAAAGACACGTACACATTTTGGTTTTGTGTGTCTCCATTGCGATATGGATATTTACAATGTTTTGACTGTGTTCTTTATGTTTCGTCTGTCTCGGATCAACAGACGCTTGAACGTAGAAGAAAAAAAAACATCGCATACAAATCCAAAATTGGTCTGCATATGAGTGTGCATGTGTATGTAGCGCATATATTCATTCAATGTGCAAAGCTATTCAATGTGCTGCACAGTCGGCTGTTGCTCCTATAGCTGTTTGCCCAATGCTGTTGTTCTGGTACTTTGCTCTTTCTCTCATTTCTTTCGGTTTGTTGTTGTTTTTTTTTTCATTCTTCATTTTAGCTATAGTTACAGATTGCCACGGCGAAGCAGTATTCGTTGATATATTTGAATTGTACCACAGGATTCAGTCTCATACAGTGAGCCCGTTTTGATGGACTTGTATATTATTTCTTTTCGTCATTCCTTATAATATTGTGACCGCCTGGATCACAATTTTTTTTTTTTTAATTACAAAACAGATACAATCGATGTGAAAAAAAAAGACTCGTTGGTGTCGTTAATTCAAATAATAAATTTTGTTTGATTTTCGGCTACATATTTTCTGTTAACAGTATTAAAAACGTATGAAATTATATCGAGTTGTTTTCGTTTAGCAATCAAGTGAAAATTTAATTTAATTATTTGCGAAAAATATTTGCAATTTTTATCGTTAATAAAATTGATATTGCCATGACAAAATGTGGAGTCATTTGAAATAGCAAGCAGCAACATTCACATATGATTGAATAGAATACAAGCAACACACAGTGCCTTCCGATCACGTAGACACACAGATTGATGCAACTTCATAGTATGGATGAATTGAAACCGAATCACGGGTGAAATCAAAACATTATATACCAGGCATTATATTGAGATATGTTCAGCCAGCTGAATTAGCTCAAGGCGCTAATGTCAGGCGCTGAAATGGAGTGAATTAAAAAATTGCCATACCAATCACTTCCATTGTTTTGACTTCATTTCAGCGCCTGACGTGAGCCTCCTGAGCTGAATCAGCTGCCTAAAAATATCACAATGTAATGTTTGTTATACGCATACGTTTAGTTGTGCAAAGTGTTTTTGCGAATTTTTTTTTTAAAATGATTTCTTCTTCTTCCTCCTTCAAAATGTTAGATATCGTTTGTGATGCATGCAATCGTTAAATGTTGGCTTCTCTTTTCCACTTTTTTCCATCATTCGTTCCACTTTATTTTATTGCACACAAACTTAATCACAATTATCGTTTAATATGTTTATTTTTGTATGCTTTCGCATTGATATTGTCGTGTGAATTGGCTGATAGTATATCCGAAAATAGTTGTTTTGTTTACATTTTTTCAACTAATCTAGTCTCAGATTACTATATATTTGAATATAGAACATTAGCCTGTTTACTTTTCCTTTTAGTTGCACACATACGTGCGCGCTGTTTCAATCACACAATACAAAGTAACACATATTTCAACCGAATAGAATGTGAATGAAATAGTTGTACTAAGTAATACATTTAATTTGCTAGATTGTTGACGAACGAGTTTATTTTCAATTGCTGTTGAATCAGCTGAGTTCATGTTTTGCAAACGAGCGCGACACAAAAAATCAGTCGGAAAGCAAAATAAGTGTAACTTGTAAGATTTGGTTATCGGCGATAAGAAGAAAAAAACGGTTGAAATCGGTTGTAAAGTGGTTTTAATCAATTTAAAAAAAAGTTCCAATTACCATTTACATATGAATGGGTAAGAATTACATCTCCTGCTCTTTCATCGAGAGATTTCCATAAATACGAGGAGAAGCAAAGATCCAAAGTTGCCCTTTCATTTTCACTCAATTAGTACATAAAATTGTCCTTTTTTTTCAACTAAAAATTATGTATTCTTCGTTTAATTCATGCATACGATGGCAACGTTGTGACGAGCGGCTGTTCGTAGCATGCTTGTTTGCAGTGAGAGTGTGTATATTTTTTTCTTAAATAAATGCACTCATTTTCAACATACCGGCTGAACAATACAGACATGTTTGAATGTGCTGTAAAGCGAATGTTCACCAAATCTCGTTCCCAAAAAAGAGTACTTGCACGCAGTCAGATTAGATGTTCGCATAAAATTCACTTGTTTTTTTCAATGTAGAAAATTATTTCATTTTTTTAGTCGTATTCTATGTAAATAATTTGAAGTGGGTTTCTTTTTCATCTAATCAGCCTCGTTGTGTTTTGCCGAAGCTTATCATCATTATCAATGCTAAATGAATTTTATATTTTCGATGAACAGTACGAAAATTGAATCTTTATTCTTAAGATTCTGTGATTCAAAGTGTGTGTTTTATTTTTAGTGGACTAATTGTGAAAATTGGCTGTTACGTGTGTTAGAAACGAGAATTGTATAAAAATTGAATATTTTTTGTTTGTTTGCATTACGTATTAGAGTATTTTCCATCAAAAAGGGAGCCATTTAAATTAACTAAAAATGGCTCGCGGCTTACTTCGTCTATGTAGCTATCATAAGTCAGATCCAATTCAGAAACTTCAATTGCACTCTCAAAGATGGTTTTCAAGTGAGTTCAACAATTATTTCAAATTTCCAATTCTTCGAATGAATTCGAAATCAAAACGAAATATTTGCTTTCAGGATCATCGAATGTGTATGAAAAAAGTGCCAAACCCAGTGAAAGTATTAAAGGCATTCCGTATAAACAATTAAAAATTGGCGTTGGCAAGGAAAAATGGACGAATGAAAAGAGGTGTGATTGATGAACTCAGCATTTAGGTGATATGAATTTATGACATTTTTCTCGTATTTTTTTCTTCTAGAGTGGCAATAACGCCGGCCGTAACATCAGCTTTGGTGAAAAAAGGATTCACAGTGAATGTTGAACAAGGTGCTGGTTTTTCGGCAAAATTTCGTGATGACGATTATGCAAAGGCCGGTGCAAATATTGTCAATTCAAATGCCGCACTATCATCGGATATTGTGCTTAAAGTTCGTCAACCACACGATTCTGATATTCCATTGTTTCGCGATAATTCAACGCTCATTTCATTTCTATACCCGGCCAGAAATAAAGCACTTATTGATAAGCTAAGTGCAAAGAAAATGAACGCATTCGGTACGTAAAATCATTGTTTTTGTAAATTATAAAACGTCATCGAATTTATATATTGATAAATAGTAAAAGATTTCAGTGAATCATTTATTGTTCATTTTAAAGTGCAACGACATTGACATTATTCGCACATTTTTCTCGAAATAATCAAATCAATCTAAAATGGTTGTATTATTTTATGGTTTCAGCAATGGATTGCATTCCACGTATTTCACGAGCACAGGTAAATGATGACGTGACATAAACGGGATTGGATTGTTTTTATGTTCGTTTTGTTTTGTTTTGTATTTGAACAGGTGTTTGATGCCTTAAGTTCAATGGCCAATATTTCCGGTTACCGAGCCGTTATCGAAGCTGCCAATCATTTTCCACGTTTTTTCTCGGGACAAATCACAGGTTTGTGTTCTTTTTTCGTTGAAATCAAAGAGACTCTTTCAAATTTGTTATCCCTCAGCTGCTGGAAAAGTTCCTCCAGCAAAGATTTTGGTCATTGGAGGCGGAGTCGCGGGTTTAGCTGCATGCGCTCAAGCCAAAAATATGGGAGCTATTGTTCGTGCATTTGACACAAGATCAGCCGTACGAGAACAGGTTGAAAGTTTGGGCGCCGAGTTTCTTACAATAAATATTAAGGAAGAAGGAGCTACTGCCGACGGATATAGTAAAGAAATGTCACAAGCATTTATCGATGCTGAACACGCCTTATTTGCTGAACAGTGTAAAGATGTGGATGTGATAATAACGACAGCATTGATTCCAGGAAAAAGGGCACCAATGTAAGTTTACCGGCACTTTTAGTATCCGTGTAAAAACAAAATTCGATTTTTTTTTATTTCAACAGCCTCATTTTGAAGGATCATGTAAAGCTTATGAAACCTGGAAGTGTTATTGGTAGCTATAGATTGAAATGTCGTATTTGAAAACGTTTGAATGAAATTCTATGAAATTGTTGTCGTTTTTAGTCGATTTAGCCGCTGAAACGGGCGGAAATGTTGAAACAACAGTTCCCGGAGAAGTTAAAACAATTCACGATGTCGTCCATGTTGGCCTAACTGATTTGCCAAGTCGCTTGCCCACACAAAGTTCAACATTATATGCAAATAACATTTCAAAATTCCTATTGTCGATTGGTGAAAAGGAGCATTTCAATATTAATTTGGAAGATGAAGTTGTACGAGGCAGTATTATATTGAAGAATGGCGAATTACTGTGGCCGCCACCAATGTTAAGCGTATCAAAAGCACCGTCACCGGCACCAGCCGCACAAGAAAAGAAGCCAGCCGAAGTGAAGAGTCTTCCCGCACCCGATCCATTTAAAGACACATTGAAAAATAGTTTGGTGTACACCGGGGGAATGGCAACAATGATTGGTTTGGGATGTGCCTCGCCGAATCCAGCATTTACAACTATGCTGACCACATTTGGATTGGCTGGCATTGTTGGTTATCACACTGTTTGGGGCGTTACACCGGCATTGCACAGCCCATTGATGTCGGTAAGACCTCTTTTTATTATTCATTCGATTGAATATGAATTTTAATTTCATGAGCACATCGTTGATGCGAAATGTCTCTTTAAAATACACTTTTCAATGCAAGGTTACCAATGCGATTTCCGGTATTACGGCCGTTGGTGGAATTTTATTGATGGGTGATCATTTGGTTCCAACGAATGCAATTGAAGCTCTAGGCGCCAGTGCTGCTCTAATCTCATTTGTAAATATATTCGGTGGCTTTTTAGTTACACAGAGAATGCTCGACATGTTCAAAAGACCCGAAGATCCACCAGAATACAATAAATTATATGCAATTCCAGCACTTGGTTTTTTTGGTAAGAATCGAATTGATTCCATTTAAAAGAAATAGATAGCTAATTTCAATGGCTTAAAATAGGTGGATATGGTTACGCCACGCTAGCAAATTTCCCCGAAATCCATCAAATGGCATATTTGGCAGCTAGTTTATGTTGTGTTGGTGCTCTTGGTGGTTTGTCATCACAAAAGACTTCTCGTTTAGGAAATGCACTTGGAATTGTACGTACTGCAGAAAAAAATCCCTTTTCCATTTAAAAACAAATATTTATAATAATTTAATAGATGGGCGTGAGCGGTGGAATCGCGGCGACACTCGGCATGATGTCACCCACTATTGATGGGTTACTGCAAGTGGCTGGTGTGGCTGCATTGGGCGGTGGACTTGGAAGTGTGATTGCAAAACGAATTCAAATAACTGATCTACCTCAATTAGTTGCTGGTTTTCACAGGTATATATCGAGTCATTGATGTGATTAAGTTACAAAAGGTGTTAGCTCTGCACCAGTGCGATAATCACAAAAATAGATAGCTAATTGCGAAAAGCAGCCAAACCGAGAAAACAGATCTCATAGCTAATTAATGTTTTTTTTTTATCTTAATTTTCTTTTAATTGTCTCATTTTCATTTGCGTTATATTTCATTGAACATAAAGTAAATCGTAGAAAATTTGTTACACCTTTTTCGTCATTGAATTTAAATAAAATTTTGGTTTTGCATTATTCAGTTTGGTTGGTTTGGCAGCTGTGTTAACATGTGTTGCAACCTACATGCATGATTTCCCCACATTGGCCACCGATCCAGCTGCAAATGTTTTACGAACTGCACTTATACTTGGAACATACATTGGCGGAGTCACATTTAGGTATTATTTTTATTGAGAAATATTTTCGTAATTCAAATAATGAACGCTATCATAATTATGCGACAGTGGTTCCCTTGTGGCCTATGGAAAATTACAAGGCTTATTGAGCTCATCTCCGTTGTTGTTGCCTGGTCGACATTACATAAATGCTGGTCTACTTGGTGCCAATGCTTTGGCAATGGCTGCATTCTATGCAGATCCATCATTGAGCGGCGGATTGGCTATTTTAGGTACAAAGGTTTACTTTTCACAAGATTTAAAACGAAAAAACATAATGATATTCAATTTTTAGGCGCAACATCTCTTTTATCAAGTATCATGGGAGTAACACTAACATCGGCAATTGGAGGTGCTGATATGCCTGTTGTTATTACTGTGTTAAACTCATATTCCGGATGGGCACTCTGTGCTGAAGGTGAACATATTTAAATGAAACCCTGAACTTGATATTCTATTTTTAAATTTATTTTAATCGGAAAAAATATCTGTCAATTAAAAAAAAAATCAGGTTTTATGTTGAATAACAATCTCATGACCATTGTCGGTGCGTTAATTGGATCGTCTGGTGCGATTTTGTCCTACATCATGTGTAAAGCAATGAATCGATCCTTGCCGAATGTTATCCTCGGCGGTTACGGAACATCATCAACTGGAACAGGCGAAGCGATGAAAATTACTGGCACCCATACTGAATTAGATGTACCTAGTTGCATTGATTTGATAAAAAGTGCCAAGAATATTATCATTACGCCAGGCTATGGCCTCTGTGTTGCAAAAGCACAATATCCACTTGCTGAACTTGTTTCCATTTTAAAGTCCAAAGGGAAGAAAGTACGATTTGCAATTCACCCGGTTGCTGGCCGAATGCCGGGACAATTAAATGTTCTATTGGCTGAGGCTGGAGTTCCATATGACGATGTCCTTGAAATGGATGAAATAAACGATGATTTTGATGACACCGACCTAACACTTGTGATTGGCGCCAACGATACCGTCAATAGTGCCGCCGAAGATGATCCCAATTCCATTATAGCTGGTATGCCAGTACTTCGTGTATGGAAATCCGATCAGGTACTATTTGAAAATCTTAATTTAACATTCATTTGATCTATATGTATAATTCTCGTGATTGGTTTAGGTGGTTGTGATCAAACGATCGCTTGGCGTTGGTTATGCTGCAGTTGACAATCCAATTTTCTACAAGCCAAACACATCGATGTTACTTGGCGATGCAAAGAAAGTGTGCGATGACCTCTTGTCCAAAATTAAAACCATTTACTAAAAAATAATGTTCATACATTTCATTTGTTCAATTATGCATATTGAAGATTAACTATAGTTAATTATAACGATAAATCGATTTTCCTTATTTTGATTATGTCATGTATTTTCCTATTATAAGTTTATGAATAAAAATAAAAATAAATTGCGAATTTTCCATTTGATACACGTGGTTTTTGTGATTTCGGTGTTAAAATGTAAAGAATTATTCATCGAATATTAGTATTACGATATTACCATTCAAAATGGTAATAAACATGGAAATCGATACCCAAAAATGTTTAGTTGTCTTTTTATATATATTGAATATGATCAGAAATGTCCAGATTGTGAGGATCAGCTAGATCGTAAACAATTGTATCCAAAAACTTCTTTGAATATGCAATAAAATTCAGTTTGAAAGTAGTATGAAAAGGCCAAAAGTATATGTATTAAAAATAATTATTTATTTTTGTAATATCGTGTATATTTAATATATAATAATTATTCAGCGATTTCAATGGAAGAAGTGGTACAAATTAATCGCCGCCAACCAAAAAGAAACATTCTGAACCAACAGCGAATAAAAACAAAAGTTTACATTTTCAATGACCCATAAACGCTTCTATTTGTAAATTGCAATGCTATTCAATGAGTTATTGTTTAATGAAAGAGATTTTCAATTTTTACTTTAGATTGACGCCGCCACTTCAACGGTTTTGCTTGGGATTAAATGCCATGACAACCAAAATGATAAAATTGGTTGTGCAAACGAAATAATCATCAGGAAATACAATTTACGTTTCCGTCCAATCGAATAGTCCGTGTGTACGTCGGCTTGTTGAACATTACCATATGCATCATATGAAACAGTACTCGTTGATTCTCGCATCATTTTTGCTTTTAATGTACGCAACTGAAAGAAAACCATCGATACCAACAAATTTAATATTTAAATTTAAAAAAAGGCAAATTTATACCAATAGATTTGATGTCTTACCATAAAAAAGGATAGCGAAAGGCCAGTGTACAAAAGTGCCAAATAATATCCAAAACTTTTAAAAACGATGCTAACTAAGATGCATAGATTGATGGCCACAAATTTATAACCGGAAAATGCCACTAGATCGAATTTTTTCATGATTGATGACAAATTAAACACATATAATGTGATTAAGTAAATGATCAACTCAGCAGCATTATACGCAAATGCACTCGATAATGTTAGCGTCAACATTTCTGGTGTGAACTTGTCTTGCATACCTAAACGAAGAAAAAATAGCAATCGAAAGTGAATAAAAATAGAAGCAAATTATATATATAAAAAAAATGAAATTCAATTTACCCAAAACAAGACCGGCTAAAACGACAAATGTAATGTATGCCATTGCTGGAATATACAAATCGGGCGCATTTAGGTCGTAACGTGGTTGAACCGGATTATCTTGATCATACTTCAATGACCAGTCCTACAGAACGGAACAAAAAAAAAAAATTGTTCATTTCGATGGACAAAACGGAAATCGATTTAGTTAGAACTCACCCGATGATGGTAGGGAAATAGAAGTAAAATTAATTTTTTCACCACGTAATTGTTATCGACGGCAAAATAGTATTTCAATTGTGTCATTGATACATATTTTTCGACTTGTGTATCAACAAATTGTTTTCCTTGGTCAGCCAAACGTTGGCCATACTGTAGAGCCATGTCCTGAACGATCGGTTGTTGAAGCATTGCAAATTGATTTGGAAAATTGTTCGTTGTGTTAATTGGAGCGTTTGGATTGAAGATGGCTGGACCGGGACCGGGACCGGCATTTATTTGTGGTTGTTGCGGTTGTTGTATGTACTGTGGTGCCGCATTGTTATAAGGTTCATAGTATGTGTTTGATGGTTGGTTCGAATAGTTCGGTGCAAATGAAGCATTTTGATTCATATTTACTTGATCATTGTAATTGTATGCAGCGCTATTATTATCCGCTGGAATTGTATTTGGTACGTATGAATTTTGTGGCGGTGCCGATGCGAAGTTCATGGCACTGTTATCAACAACTCTTTGTATCCGACGAACACCAGCTAAATAAAAAGAAAACCAACAAAAAATTCATTCAAATTCACATTTATCTCAGCAATCGTTCCGCTTATTAACTTAATTAAATTTTGCAACGCATTCAATTAAAAATAGAATTGTCTATGACATATAATATATATTCTCTGGTATATTCTTTTTCATTTTTAACTTACGTGCTCCTTCACCATGTTTTGAATTGTAATTCATGGTATTTATCAGATAAAATTCCACTTGGGTACCGTGTTATAAATCTGGTATTTAAATTATTTTTTTAAATTCGATATTGCTTGAAAATAGTACAACAAAACTGCAAAATATTATCAATTTGTTGGAAACGATTTGACATTACACATCATCGTTTATTACAACTTAACGAAAACTGTCACTGCATAGACCGTTCTTTTCTTGATTCAACGAAGAAAATACACACACACATACACACACATACACAAAGCTGAATCAAGCAATCAACTGTCATTGCAGCCAACCGATTCAAAAAATGTCTTGCGAAATCAGTTCTACCAATATAACGCACACGAATAAAATCGGTCGCATTGCAGAAGATACTTGGAAAAGTGCGGCAAACTCAACGATTAACTGACAATTGAACGCACTAAAAAAAGAATAAAAAAACTAAAACATTCAACAAAAACACATTGTGCATTGAATTGAATTTTAACGTTTGGATTTGTTTCGTTTGGAAACGAAAAACGTGCTACTGCGATAATCGAAAGAAACTTCGTGTAAAAAGTGATTGAATTATTCAGTTGTGATTTATATGTCAGTTTGACAATTCGTAGAAACGAATTTTCTTTGTTTCTATACATATATTGGTCACGACAAGTGAAACAAGCATCAATAGCCATTGGTCTATGGTTCTCTCTATGTTTTCGTGAATTTGATTTGTCTCTCTTTTTTTACTTGAAAAAGAACTGAAATATTCAGCTGTGATGTTAACACGAAGGAAACGCATCGGCATTGGTAAGTAGAAAAAAATCCAATAAAATTTTGATTTTAAATGAGAAATCGTAAAAGTGATTGGATGCCAAACAATAGAAAAATGGCAAAAACAACAACAAAAATAAAATTTATGTGTTGTATTCATTTTAGATTCATCGCCAAAAACATCGATCAGTAAAAATGCCCATTTACTTACAAAGAAAACGATGCAGGATTCGGCGAATATGTTGAGCACACCACCAACACGACGAAATCGATTTATGTTGGGCAATAGTAATGCAAACGTGATAAATGACGATTCACCGGTGTTGTCGCAAGAAACAATCAATATAGCATGGAAGTGGAAAAGCGATACACCAAATCGTCCAACAAATAAAACATCCAAACTAAAACGAACAACAACAAATGGAAGTATAGCACAGATTTCAAGCTTGCAACGATTTAAGCGAAACAGTAAGGATAATCAAACAGCTACAACATCATCACCAATATTAGTAGCTGAACCCGAAACACATTCACCAAAAGGCCTGTACAAATTTCAAGAAGAAATGCGTAAAATGCAAGCCGACACCGAGTCGGATACATCATGTGATAATATTTATAATGATAAGTCAAATACAGAGTCGGATACGGGCTATCCAAACAATTTGGAAGGAGCTGCTCACGCATATAACGCTGGGTGTAGTGATAATTTGGACGTTTCTATGCAGGATGGAAATGTGGAGCCGCCAAAAATGACAAGCACACAAAATTGTACAATTGGTGACAATTTAGCCGATGATTTATTGAATGATTCGGATTTCGATCACATTTTATTGACATGTAAAATGCCAGTACAGGCTACAGCTCCTTGTGAACAGACCGTATCGGAATCGAATAGATCAAGTGTGAAGAAAGCCAATTCGGCACCCGAAATAAAGGCAAGTGGCAGCGGTAGTACGAGCAGTGGCAGCAATTGGAATTTAGTTGACGATTTCGACGATTTAGTTAAAGATATTGATTTTGATGAGGACATTACAGGCTCGCTGAATACATCGGCCAAATTTACTCGGCACAAATCAATGCCGCAACAGCCGCAAAAACCGAGCACATCATCATCAACAACACCGAAAACATTTAAGCCACAACAATCCAAGTACGTGGATAACACTCATCTAAATCGGAAAAGTTTCACACGTCATGAAAGCATGCCAATCACAAACCGATTAATTAATCCATCTACAAAAAACAACAACATTTCTGCCAAACAACATTCGGGTATGTATATTGATTTAATTTCGCTTTTTTTATCTCATTAATTTTTATCGCAATTTGTTTTCGCTTTTCCCCAATTAGCATTCCCATCAACCCAAGAAAAAAAGTGTACTAAGGAGGAAATAGCTGAAAAACGACGTCAAGCTATTGAACGGTTGAAAAATCGTCAGAAACAAGTCAAAGTCAGCACATAACCAATTTACGAATTGAAAACAGTCATTTTGAAAGGAAACAAAATTGAATTGACATTCAACAAAACCATTTCTCATAAAAAAAAAAAAACATTTAATATTTTCTTCTTCGGATAAATACTATGAATATTTTTGGAATTCATTTTTTTCCGCTAGAATTTATACACACACAAGAACAAATCGAAAATAGCAATGAGGAATAGAATTTAATCATCAATAGGGAGATAAAAATAATAATATAAACGCATACATTCAAATCAAGATATCTGAATTCAGAATAAATTCTATTTGTTGAGTCTGAATGACATCTTGTTCTTAATGGAAGCAAAAAAAAAAAAATCTTGTCGTCTTGTATTGTATTGTTGAAAATATTGATGACACGACAAATTTGAATTTAATAAAAAACAGCAACATTTTGAACTATTTTTTTAGCTCATTAGTATTTCATTTACATTTTTTACATTTACCATAAATTCGTATATTTTCACAGAATAATTCTCAAAATAAGAGAATTTTTCTACTAAACATTTTATGCCAATTATGTTGGCTTCTAATAAAAATAAAGAAAAAGATACAAAATTCGTTGAATAAATGCAAAGAAATTCGCTGCATAAAAGCACTTACTTGAAGGCTTACATTGTGAAATTGAAACCGCGTCGATTTGGCTGGCGAGTGCATGTTCTTTTTTCTAAATTTACAATTAGAATGGTGTAATAAACAGAGGTAGTCTTTTATTCTGTTCAAGTTTACGACAACGGTATTTGCATACGATGGATTAGCGGTCACATTTTGGTGTCTACAATAAACTGGTAAAAATATACGTATATGTTTATCTGGTAGCGTTAATCTGTTATCGTTAATTATAGTATTGTTTTGTATGGTTGTTTTTCTGTTTTGTCTATGCACGTCGGTTGGTATATGCAATGAATATTTACATTCGGTGTACAGCATGCGCCGCTTAAAAATTCATAAATATAAGAAAATGATTTTGTAATAGGTTTTGTCCGCACACAAAATGCAACAATGGCCATTTGCCATTTCATCAAAAAAAAATATATAATGCAATACATTAGACCTTAAAGGCAGGCCGTCGGATCAGTTGTGATAAAATCACCTGAAAATCCATGTTGCTCTCATATTCTTATGTTATTCATTAGACAATTGTTGCAGCCGCTTTTTTTGTCCGTCTCACTGTCTGAGTTCGTGGTACACACACATTCTTACCTTCTTTTCAGTTCGAGTTTAACTGATGTCCAATCCAAGTGCAACGTCATATAATACGTATAATTAAATGTACAGTGTTATTTGTTTTTATTTTTTAACCAGAAAATTATGGCTGAGAAATCTATTGAAACGAATTTCATAAATCATGTTAAGACCACAGCCAACAATACAATCGCATGGTAATAACCACGATATGCAACTAAATAAATGCATTTAGTCTAATGTATTAATAGCGATATTTTCGAAAAATCGATTGAATCGATTCATTGAAAGTGTTATCGCGTGGGCTGTGGATCTTCTGTGCGATTATTTAATAGTGACATTTTATAAAAATTGTTGCAAATTTTCATTCCAGCCATAATAATGAGAAAAAATGGGCCATTCAATTTAAATATATTGAGAGGCGTCAATTATTACATTAGCATTTATTCTATTCCATTAAGCTCTTGAACATGTTTTTTCAGCCGGTGCGTTTTTTCTCCTTCTCTTTGCTTTTTGCGCCGGTAATACGTCGATGTTATGCAATCGATTTTCCAAAGTGCATTCATATTCAACACATCATTCATGTTGAGCCCAAAAAATACATTTTATTTAAATTATTCTACCAATTGAGCAGAAAAAAGAATCAATTGACCAAAACGGCGGCTAAAAAAAGAGCAAACAAACAACAATGTTAATCAAAAATCGAATAATAATAGTCAACAGTTGTATTAGTCAATATGAAAAATAGCCAAAATATAAATAAATTTATGGTCTCCGCATGAAAATCACCATGCGAATTGTTCAAATGTTTCAATTTGCAAAGAGTTTCACATGCGTCGTTCTTGGTCGATGCAAATATGCATAGAGAAAATGCGAGATAAACGGGCCGCAATGCCATGGTTTGAATATTGGTGGCAACCTTATTCGGTGTGTTTGATTATGACTTGAGTAATTCACGAAAGACTCTGTGCAGCTTGTACAAAGGTAACAATGATTCCAAACGGAGCAGAGACACAAACGTCAGAAATTTATAAGTTCGCAAAAACGCAATGATTTATATTAATAATTGAAAAATTTCATCGATTTGCCAATCTCAAATTCATTTTTGAGAAAAAAAAAGAGATATAGCAAAGCGGAGAAAGAGCGTTTAAACGGCAAAATAAAACGATTCATTATGTTTGCAATGAAAAACCAAAAAAAAAAAAACGTAAACTGCCAGATATCGTAGGGTTGAATAGCGAAATTCCATTTCTTAGATACCACAAATACCGTGCTCTGTTAACCAATTAACCTAACTCACAACATGTTCAAATATGAATCGTTCGCGTTCAATGCAAGCCCCAATGCAACACACCAACCAAAATAAATTATACGTTACAGGATTTTTCAATGTTTATCCAATGCAATCGCAACAACAAGACAATTTACAGAAGAGAAAAAAAAACAACGCGCCGTCTGTTTGTTATATACAGTAACCGTTGTTAGCATCGGTTAAGCAACAAATAAATTCTTTTTTTTCTTCACGCTCTCTCTCCCTCTCGAAATTGGCAGGAAAAAAAACACACACAAAGTATTGCGTGCATATATTATATTTTGCATTCGCCCCTTTTTTATGTTTGTTCTTAATCTAAACTGATAACTTATGCATGTTTTGCATTTTGATGGTTGTTTCAGAATATTTATGGAGTGCGTTAATGACAGTATCGTTATTATAACATATAGCACATAAAATCATTTATTTGCCTGATTCAATTTTTCCTCGTCGAGAGATTGAACCAATTCCAATCACTAAACGAGCAACAACAAAAAAATATTAATAAGAGAAACAACACTGAAATCAATTAATTGTGATAGACATTTAATTAACAACAGCCAGTACAAGTCGATGCAATTCGTACGACATTTTTTTTTTTCAAAGTATTTTGTTTATACTTCGCTTTTTGCATTCGACTTGAAATGCTCATTTATTTTATTTTATTTTTTGTTTGTGCAGGCCTCGCTTCGTCTGTGGCCTGTGTTTGATATTTCCATGTGACAAACATTGCATCGCATAAACGCACATACGATATGATCGAGATGAAAAGTTATTTAGCGATTTTATCGTTAATTATTAAAACCTTATTGAATGGTGTGTGTGTGTGTGTTGCAATTGGTCTCATATACTTTTTGAGTTGTAATTTTACGCACCAAAAAAACGCATTCATCAAGAAATTTTACATACGATCAAAGTGTACGGATCTATTGTGCGAAATCGAATAGAGCGATCGTCTAGAGCGTTTCCCACCTTTTGCTTTATAATGTATTCAAATTTTTGCTAAAAATCAACGTTTTGCAATGTGTTCGACAATCATTTAGGGCAGCAAATTAAAACTTGAATTCTTGAAGCTCATTTCTGCTGTCAAAAACTATCATAATTATCATCACCATCAAGACAAGCTATTGAGTTGTTGTTGTTTTTTTTTCGTCTCTCTATTTCTCTTGGAAACATGATTTTCCGCAATGGAGTGTTTGCGATCCGATTGGCACGTATGCCAATACGATGTAGGAAAAAAAGCTAAACACATTACAATTTGCAGAAGAGAATAAAATGCAGCAAAGTTTATGACAAAATTGTCGCACTGAAAAATGATTTGTAAGTAGCATAAAAGTTCAACGCAAAATGGAAACGTGGAAAATTAAAAGTGTATTGCTGGTCATTTCGGTGTTTATAATGACCAAAACACACACATAGAGAGAGAGAGACGAAATCGCCTCATACTGTAGTGAACGAAGTCAGTGTCGCGCTCACGCACAGCATATTTCTATGCGAATATGGAATTTGGTCATATTTTTATTGCGCTAGTTGATCAATTAAAAAATAGCGGACATTTTTAGATCGAAATTATAAAAATTGTATCGTTTAACGGTCGTGCAGTTGTCCTCTGCTTTTCATTTAACACTGCGCTCAATTTCTTCGTTCGAATAGCATGAGAGTATATTTAATGTTGTTTTTGTTTCTGATCAATTCTTCACGCATCTTAAAATTGAATCGAATGTTCGTTAACTCAATGGTCGCTACTTGATTTCCGTTGACAAATCGCAATCGGCGATCACATAAATCTACCAATCACACCACACAACCAAAAAAAAAGCGATTGAGCGACAACAACAACAACAACCAAAACTAAAAACCGTAATATATTCGAAAGATATTGCCACATATGCTGCATCTGCTATTATTTACCTTATTGAAAAGTGGTAATTGACGGGCGAGAAAAAAAAAGTCTCGACAAAAATAAAGAGATTCGGAGCACAAAACGCGTAAATGATGTTGAAATATTTGGTATATCCATTGATGTCGAAGTGCCAAATAAACGCACGCACATAAGACCTCAAATATACACAACATAAGTACTCTTCCAACTGAAAATAAAAAAAATTAATCTCGCTCAATGTTGATTTTCCTCATTGACGCACTCCATTCCATTTTCAATGATATTGCTATATCGCGATTTTTTTTTATTAACTCGTTATCTTTGCATGCAAACAAGAGCCAAGTAATCATTTATCAATTACAACTTACAATGGTATATTTTTCAATGGTACGGAATGCATGGGTAATTGAACAACATGTAGGATCCGATTTCCTTCAAGGAAAATCATTGAAAAAAAAAGATTGTACCATTCATTCTCGCTCTAAGCTTACGGCGCAGAATTCATTTCAAGTGTTTTTTTTTTCTGTTCAATTTTCGTCATCAATTATCGCTAATCTCCAATAATTATGGGAGCAAAAGGCTATAATATTGTTAAAACGACAAAGTCAACGTGTTGACGTGTTGACTCAATAATAGTTTATCAATTGCAATCATCAACGGCCAGTTAAATCAAGTTTCACATGTTTGTTTTTTGCATACATTGTACGCATGTGTTGATTTTTTCCACCATCATATTGATTTTAAATCAATAATTAAGCAACGTAATAGAATAAAGCCGACTTATTTCCCAAGTATTTCCCGAAGTTTCGGGGGGGGGAGTGGTTTTACCATGATGTTTGTAAATGATTTCAGTAAAATCGACATTCAATATGATTAAAATAGATAGAACTTTCAAATAGATAGAAAAGAGTCATTTTTTTCGTAAACGATTGACCTTTAAATCGACCAAGAAAATAGAGCAATCATATGCATTCAACAAAAGTGATGACCTTGCAACACCTATTGAATTTTTCACGCTTAACATCATAATACACGAACCTCATGTGACAACTTTTTACTGCAGCCCAATCAATTGATTGAAATGAGATCGAGTTTTTGGTTTTCACATTCTTACAAACATTATGACAAATGAACGTGCGCTTATGGCATAGCTATGGCTAGGCTCACAAAAGGAATTAAAACAATAGCGGCCGCAGCAGCAAATGAACGACCGAATAAAAAAAAAGTTGCATTCAATTCAATTAAAATTTTATCGATACAAAATCTATGTCATAAAAGTGCAGAGTAAACGGATGATAGACGAAGAAAAAACACGCTGCACAGTAAACGAAATATGCGAAATAAAACACGAATGTCACAAGTTGATTATATTTTTCATTGTTCCATAAATCGCCGCAGTAAAATGTGCGATTATGATTAATACTGCTCACATGTGTGCGATGCATGGCTTTTTTTGTACACACGCCAGCACAACGTCGAATAAGCGACCATATTTTCATTTCGATGCAAATCATTTCGATCAAAAACACACACGCGCCAAATGCAGCACAATTAAACACGTAAGCTCAGACTAAACTCAATCATTTTAGTTTTTGATCGAATTTTATATAATAAAAGTGAAAATCACATGATCAAAATTAACCTTAATCGATTTATGGTTTTTATTAATGAGTCTTGTGGATTGTATGCAGTTGAGCAATCAAATTACTCATTCAACGTTTATTACTTTTTGAACATTTCATCCATTTGACATTCCTTTTTTTTTTAAATAAATGAGTCTCTATTTATATGTGTCTAAACGTGAAAGTCTTGTGACGAACGTTCTTTTGATCAATTCCTATTGTGATTTATAGAAAAGTTACCGGCCGGCCACATATCCAAGCTGAAACTTGCCATTTAGCACATAATTTACTGTTCACAGGTATAAATTACATCTAAAAAGGCGTGAAAAATGCGTTCAATCTCCAAAAAAGCGCTTTTTTGACATGTATTCAAATAGAAAAGAATAAGTTAATAAGGAGAGAATTGAATTTGATTCGGTCTCAAATTTCCAGACGATGTATACTCGTCGGTATGAAATCCCTACTAAAGAGCCAGATGGTGGCGACAGTGGTGATGAGATTTTCAAATTTATTTGAACGTCGCCATGTTGCTATACTTGTCCATTATAAGGTACATGCAACAGTCAGCATCCATTACAGTGGACATAAACGATTTGAAGAATATTTCCAACCGTCAATGTGAACTAGATCAAATATAGAACTACACATAGGAACATATACGATGAATATGGATCACAAAATATGTTTCAAAATACTGTCACCAATGTCGACTCACTCTGAGACGAAAATTTTGACATTGAAAATGCGTGTTATTGTTGTTGTCGTTTCATATATTGTTGTTGTCGTTTGTATACTTGACCATTAAGTAGTTCCAATATTTTATCTTTAATAAAATGTTCTCTCACCAATTTCAAATGTAAATTGTCCATTCTAAATGTCGTGTATGTGTACCATTTACTACAAACCCTACAAACTTTACCGCCAGCTTCTAGTTCTTTTATAGTCTAATTCACGCCATAATAAAAGCTTTTCCGCTATCTGTTTGGCTACTCAATTTTTTCTCCAGTAGAAATCTCTATATAAAGCAACATTTACTCCAAAAAGCATAGGTATAAAGAAAGGAATGTATCTTGTACTATCGTTCTCATTTTCTTCGGTTATTTTGTGGTTATTTAGAGTTATTATTTGGAATTGGTCCCGTTCATAGTTTTATAAGTTAAACGGCAGTAATCGAGTATCCAGGCATGATACATGAGGCTATATATGTCGATCGAACTCATCGATGGAAAGTGCATTTCTATTTAAAAATGTTGAAACTGATGATCAAAAATGCGTTTTTCTTAGTTACAAAATGCATACAATGTTTAAGGACACGTACATTAAAATCGAATATGATAAAATATCGTCACAAAGTTATCAAAGGTGTTATGTTTTCTCGATTATGTAACTGATTTTTGAAAATAAATCACATGCATCGCACGAAAAAACAAGATAGCAACAAGTTTTGCTTTAGCTATTGCAAATTCACGATCATGGGACATCAGTTAACGGATACAATCGCGATCTAATGCGCTAACAATCACGGTCAAACCTACAAAATGTGCATAAATTGCAAAACAATGTGGGCCGACTTATAAAATTTCTAATGTCGCGTTCTCTATTTTAATTGTTGTTGGTGCAATTGTGGCTTTTGAAAACAGTTTGCCGCGCAGTCGCATACAACCTTATGTAATAATGGAGTTTTGCACGAGACTTTCGGGCATATTGAAATGCATTTATTCATTTTTTTTTTCGCCGACGGATTGATTGTTCATCGTTTTTTTTGCATTTGCGCTTCATTGTCTTTTATTGGTTTGGTAAAAACTATAACCAAAAGTGCAAAGCTCGGGCTCAACTCAGACAAAATAATGTTTCTCAACACATAACTTTGCAGTGCATTGCTTATAGAAAACAGAGAGTAAAAAAAAAGAAATAGACAACGGCGACAATAGCGATACCATTAGCACCCATGTAAACATTCAACCGTAACTCGACTGATTAACTTGTAATATTGACGTGAGCATTTATACGAAATGAAATAGTAGAATATCGTTGATGCATAATAGATCTCTGGTTTTCTTATTTCAACGCAGCGCCTCAAATGCCTAATGGGCTTTAATACTGGCATCAATAGAGACATTTCTTGTAAGTTTTGTGGCTGTCGCTATTGCCTCAAAATTTGTCTTACTCGACGTGAATAATGCAGCCATGGGTATTGAAATTTCGATTCTTAATTTAATCAAAAATCTTCAGATTTACTATTCGAAGGAATTGGTTTGTTACTTGAAGGTGTTGTTGTTTGTATTTGCTGTTGTTTCATATATATTTTTTGCTTTTCGTGGTCTTTGGCCCTCGTTCTGAATTCGACAAGATAATATATGTTGCACAAAATAAGAGAACAATATTGTTTCGTGCCTACTACCAAATGTATTGACAAATCTTAGTTTTCTGCACACTTTGCATGAGTGTTGTTAATAACACGTCTGGGCTATGGGAATATTTCGGTTTTCAGTACACTCTCAATCAATGGCTGTACTGAGCTCATGTTTGAATAAAAAAAAGTCAACGAGACACTCTATTGTTAATTTTGGTTGTGGTATATTTTTTTTTCGTGAATGGATCGTGTTGGACGATATGTTTAGAGCGCGAGTCTCAAGAGCCAAAAGCCATAAGCCATATTGGTATGCTGTTGTCTATATATTAAAAAAGAGCCTAGTACTGTGTTTGATATTGTGCAGTGAATAAACTATATTGGCGGTAAAGGTATACTTCAGCAATGCGTATGCGTGTATAAGCACACATAGCATTAGATTGTTTGAAGCTAACAAGTAACAAGCAAACGATGTAACAAGAAGTAAGAAGTAAGATAATTCGATATAAGAAAATGAATGAATGAATGTTAAAATAAGTATAAAAAAGCACTATAGTCCGTTTATGTGGTTTTGTTGGTCGTTTATTTGCGTTTAAGCGTTGATTGTTTTCAACAATGTGTGTACGCAAGCGCGCACGCCGCAATACAACATGCATTTACCAGTGTTATTGATACAACCACCGTTTGTATCGTGATCGTAGCTTTTTTTAAACCACTATCTATCTCTCTTTGCCACCAATTTTTGCAATGCGTTTTTTTTTCGTCACTTCGAAAACACATTTTGTGTGTTGTTGTTGTTTTTTTTTCGTGTCGGATGGGAGTTAAAATCGCACCGTCGTAGAATCTTTGAATCGTATAAATAGCGTGACTGGGGTCAATCGAATCACATTCGTTTTAAGTATCTTAACCGTAGAACAACTAACCAAAAACCGAAAGCAAAATGTATAAATTGGTGAGTTTTTGGTTTAGTTCACACTTCGGGAATATATATTTTTTTCTTGTTCAAAAAGAATTTAATTTTCGTGCTGTTCATTTTTTTTTGTTCGCTCCTTTTTAAATTGAGGAAGAAAATTTTGCGAAATGAAGAAAAAGTAGCATACAGTCACTAGATAAATAAATACAATGTTGCCAAAGAATTTGTAGCAAACCGATTGCCGCAATATTCAAGTTCAATTTTTTTCTATTAGAATTGTTTCTAAAGCAAACACACCGTTTGATCACGTTTTTTTCGATCACCGTGTAATATTGTGCATTTACTGGATCAAGTGCAAAGAAATTTGTGTCTTTTGGTAACCAAGTTATTTGGATAGTGACTGTAGAGTTTTTTTTTCAATTGAGAGAATATATAAGCATTGTAAATGCAGTGTAATGAGTGGAAGAATTGAGAGAATCAATTCAACCAGTGTTACGAATTAGTTCATTTATTTTTACGCTCGATTCTTTTTTCAATTGCAGTTGGTATTGTCATTGGTTTGCTTTGCTGCCGCCTCAGCAGGTATTATCAGCAGCCCATATGCCTCATATGCTTCTCCATACGGATATGGTGGAGCCATCGGATATGGTGGCTATGGAGCTTACGCAGCTCCAGCTGTTGTTGCCCATGCCCCAGCTCCAATTGCATACCATGCCCCAATTGTTAAGACAGGTAATTAAAAAAACGATTTTCCACGCATTTTTTTTCTTTTATCGAAAAAAAAACAACATAATGCTTCTCTCAATTCATTTAAAATTATAGTTGCACCAGTCGTCTCCGCATACCACGCACCAGTTGTTGCAAAGACTGTGATTCCAGCAGCCACCTCATACGCCAACACCTACAAGGTATTTATTATTTTTTAATTTTTTAATGAACGAACAAAAGTAAACTGAATTTCGTAGAATTTTTAAATAATCGAATTTTATTTCTAAATTTTCGCTTAGATCTCACAATCAATTGCTCCAGTTGTTCATGCTCCAGTTGCCTACAGTTCACCACTTGTCCATTCAGCTGGTAAGAACCTATATTTTCAATTTGCAAAATTTCACATATTGTTCTGATAGAAATAACATTACAACTTATTCGTTTAATTTAAAATCTAGTTGCACCAGCAGTCGTTTCGCATGCAGTTGCCGCCCCAATTGTTAAATCATATGCAGCACCATACGCTTCACCATACGGTTCACCATACGGCTCACCATACGGCTCACCATACGCTGCGCTAGGATCATACTACTAAAATTCGTGTTAAACGTGAATCAAAGTCTCGAAATTAAGCTGAAACGTAGTCAAAACTCGAAGCAGTCCATTTTCAAAAAAAAATGACTCTTCGTGATATGGCGCTAAACAAAGAGAACAAAAAAAAATAATAATAATGGTTTCATCACTGACCATCATAAACAACAGTTTCGCCTCACACTAAAATCAAACTAAGGAATATGTTCGAATTTGACGAAAGATTTTTTTATCTAAAAAATTTAAATCGTTAAAATTAACCAAAAAACATCACATTCGCACAATTTATAACATTTTCCTTTTTATTTTCTATTCGATAATTCTATTTTGTGTTTTTTATTGTTTTTTACAAGTATTTATTTACGATCGCCTCCCATGTAAATACACACATATTCATGTATACAAAATTTTGTACATAGTTTAGGCCAAGCATAGAAAAATCTGTTTTGGTGAAAATGATGAAAACCCAATTGAAATAAAAATAATTTACTTGAAGTTTTTTTTACAAAAAAAAAATGAACACCTGTTTTTCTTACTTTTTATTTTAAACAATTTCAGGTTTAATATATTTACTATTGAAGTAGAGATTTACATATTCTTTATGTCTTCATGATACATCGAGGTTCTCGATTCGAGGAAATAAAATGGTGTCTGTTGTTTGGAAGGACAAACACCAATTTAATTATTTAGATTATGATTCATTGCAATTTGCAAATGATTGTGCTCTAATACTCAATGGAGTATAATGATATTTGAGTGGTGTGAATGGCATGTGATTGAATCACAGTGATTGCGTGTTTATTCATTATGGTATTCGTTCATTCATAAGAGCAATGTAATATAATCCATAATCCATGGACAAACGTATTGATATATGAACGAACCGCACGTAAAACAATTCAAATTTACCGATTTCTTTATGTCGTGCTCTCTTAATGGTAATGAACTATTTTATGCAAATGAAAGATGCAACTTGGCTGTTTGTGTTGCTTTTTGTGCATATTTATGTCACTCTTACTTTTCAATGAATTATTGGATATCGTACTAAAGTGAAAATCGAATTACGATGACACCAATTCGTATTGAAATTAATCACGATTTTATCGAACGGACACCAATTTCGTGAATATTGTTTTATTGAAAATAAACATCGAATGTGGATCAAAATGCGTGCGAAAGCAGTGAATTAACACAGAATGCGTGTACATCATGAGCATTTCGCCAATACAACAAAATAATTGAAAATAGATCTACACACACACACACATCTCTCTATATTATCAAAGCTGAATGTATTGCATAATAAATGAAATCCATAAGTTGGAAAACCTCGTGGAATTTTGCAATGACACACAATTTCACAGCCCATTGCGGCTGGTTATGGTGACAGAAGAGAAGATATAGACAAAATATATGAAAGATGTTATCGATCGCAACAAAGGCATACTTCAAATGAACAAAATATTCCCAGAACGGTAATCGAAAGGAAATGCAATTGAAGAATTTTCCACATGAATAGCATTTCTGTGTTTGTTTTGGATTTATTTAATTGACATCATTTAATAAAACAAATGTGTATGTGTGTGTGAGAGAGTATACCTTGTTTAACACATAAAAGCATGACGGATTTAGACGCATAATGGGTAATCATATAAATAATTTCTCGAATCGTTCATCAAATCAGTGATTATCTAAATACTGGATTTATACAATATGATGGAGAGAGAATTACGCTTGATATGAAAGGAGAAAACATAAGATTTTGTTGTTCAGTGTCATTATGATTTGCAAGTCTAGGAACAAACAGCAAATATATTACAGATCTCTAAGAAAAATCGTTGAAACGACGACAACAGAAATGACTAAACAAACTGCTATGTCGATGAGTTGGATCAAATCAGGTTTTTCATCAAATTACGCATTCGTTTTCCTTTACCATTGCAAACTCTTTTTATTTAAACGAAATTATGAAATATCAGTCGATTACTATTTGAAAAACAACTAACTAAGAAGAGAAGTAAAAAACACAACGTATGTAACAACCGCAATAGCAAAAAAGTTAAATCGCACCAAACCAATGATACATTGGCCAGATTTAACGCGCCAAATCAAGAAGAAGAAAAAAACTCAATCAAGAACGCCTTTTCAAAATCGAATCTATAATAAAATATATTTACAATATCCGGATTAAGTCGTGTCGCAGCAATATCAGAGCTACTTTCAACATTGATATAGTTTAAGAAAAATGTCGATAAAAACAAAAACAACACGTCACTTGGTCCGTGTCTCAGGTCTGATCGATTGCATTGCCATAAAACAAGATTGGATCAACCGGACGCTAGTTTCTCTTGTTGTCTCACTTGGTCAATGCATGAAGTATCTAGAAGTGACCCAGTTACGTGCATCGTCTCTCCTTCTCGTTAATTATTTATTAATATTAATCATTTGATAAAATGACATAATAGCACATTAATGCAGATGAAATGCATCGGCAAAACAACAAATATCAAACACGAATATAACAAATACAAATTAATCGAAATCAAATCAGCCATAACGAATTGTATGTTCATAGTGCGCGCTGCGCGAATAATTAAAGTAAAGCTAGTGTATACAAGAATTAAGAATGCCGCATGTACAATGTGGTGCCCGGCCGATACATAAAACTGATGAGAAAATTTGTGCATGTGCGTGCATATGTGTCTGTCTATTTGTCCTACAAACAAATATGCATGAGAAATACATGTGACAGGGCGAATGCACTAATTACAACCTTCGTTTCACAACACACACTATATGCTATCGGCTGTACCAAATACATTGAGCATATTTTCCGAACTTATAACCACCTTATTTTATTTTCTAAACACTAATTGATTGCCATATCGCTCACCTTTACGTATGGCATCATCTGGCCAAATGCAATTCTGATCTAAAAATGAAACACCTGAAACACAACAATTTTTCCAAATATGGTTGGTCAATGCATCATCGTTTGCTTCAGCAAATTGAAACGCAATCATAGAACAAAAAAGTGCACATGATGCTCGCTGGCATGCATGTTTTTTGACAATTTCAATAGCATGCGACTAAACATGTAACAATTTTATAATATTTTGATGTAGGTTGCTTTGAATTACATCGAAACAATTCGATTGGAAGAGAGAGAGAGAGAGAGAGAGAGAGAGAGAGAGAGAGAGAGAGAAAAAAGTGGCACGCAATCGAGGATCGATATTCCCCGCGATTGATTTTCACATCGACAGCATTCCTGGGCAATGGTGCAATGGAATAAAATTATATTAATTGTCACCTTCGGCCATTCGACCATATGCAAAACTATGGCTTAACATTCAATTCATGGTCTAAGTCGTTCAATCGTGTATAGCATATTGTATATCACCACAACAACCTCACGGCAACATAATTAAGTGGCCAGCTTAGTAGTATCAACAAAGTTAATTTGATCAGCACAATGTAGAAACAAATATCTGCATAACGTTACATTAGCCAGGTTTGATGATTGCTGCATTTGGTAATCTCATATAGTCATCAACTTGTCTCTCGATTATTATTATAACCCAAATAAATGATTTGATCTGAAATGATATTGATCGATAAAAGAACGCTTAAATTAACATTCTCATGTAATTGATCGAACGATTTTTTTTTTAAATTGCTTTGTGCGCGCTTCAATCAATGGACTATGACAGACCATCAATAATGACAGTCGGAAGAGGGGCGGACGAAAGAGGGGGGGTCAAGAAGGAGATGAAAAACCGAAGCAATCAAAAAATATATTAAAATGGATGGCTTGCAAAATGAAATGCAGAAGTCAGCAAATAAAAAAAAGAACAGAAAAAAAGCAAATGGCCTAAACATAAAGACGACAACTCGAAAACAAAGTACCACTTGTTACCACATATGACATTTTATTATTTCTTTGATATGACGAAAGAAAAAAACTGACAACATCAAGAAAACACAATAAATCAAAACCAGTTTACCTATTTTACGAATTCATAGCACAAATCGGCGATGAACACGACAGTTGGATTTAAGTGTGCTTCTGTGCATTGGTCTCATTTTCTCAAACCAACTGCTATTTCCATTTGCACACATGCATCGCAACAACAACAAGAAAAAAATCCACCATGAACATCGGAAAGATTTCATTTGCGCGAGCATCTCACGAAAACCATCAATGAATCGCATTTTGAGATGGTGGTATGCGTGCGTGTATTTGTGTGACTGCAATTGTCATACTCGAATGGAATATATGTGGCTTTGATATGCCAACATACCTAATCGGTTAGTGTGCATAATTCGTTGTGTCCAATTGCAAATAAAATCAAGCGGCCAGCACAAATTTATATGCACAATTAACTTTATTCATTGAAGTTGGTGCGCGGTGTCATTTTCAATTTTTCATTATGCACAAACGCAAAAACAAACTCAAAAGAATAAATCAAATATGCATATATCTCTTACGGCTCAATGGCGTGTGTCTCTCAGTATCCATTGAAGTAAAGTCGTTTGTTTTTTCTAAAAAAAAAATTTTTTTTATGCATTTGAATTTAATTTGTTTACTTGATTATTTCTTTATTGAGCAAATGGTAACAATAGATTGCTCAGTTGTGATGTATATTCTTGTTTAGTTACCGTGGAAAAATCGAACTTGCGATTCTATGCTGCGATGTAACATACTTTATAACAAATAGATTAATGTCGATTCGCTTAATTTTCAATCGCTGTGCAAATCAAATTGAGGAACAAAAAAAAAAACTATCTGAACAACAACAAGACCCACTCAAAAAAAAAAATAATTAACAAAAAAAAGTGCAACAGCCAATCTGAATGAAACAAGTGTAGAAATAATTGTCGTTTCGATGGGAAACGTAACACATAATATTTATATGCAGCGTCCAATTACATACAATTATTGTTATTATTATTACTTTTTATGTGTACTTTTATTAACTGGCACATCATATAAGCATCGTGATATGTATTTCTCATGCCGTTTTACCGCTCTTATGCGATTGCAACCCAACACACAGAGCAGATAATAAAAGGTAACATGTATTGGCTTTGGTTGGCTGTATGCGGAGAATGAACCCAAAATGTCGTGCATTTTGACTCATCGATCGTGTCTTGTTTACGATATTTCAAGGTCAATACCATACACAATATCAACACACACGTTTGACATAATTGATCTTATTTTATGTTGGCACAAACATAAATCCCGACAAGACTGTCCCAACACACACAGAGAGAGAGAGAGAGAGAAAGAGAGAGAGAGAGAGAGAGAGAGAAACGACGACGAAGTTGGAGAAAGAAATCGAATCAATTTCAAATGAATATTACTCAAATATATTACAAATAGTAAATAATCGGTTACAAATTTTAATATGAAAATCGTTGATTTCATTGTATTTCATTTGTTGCATATCAAAACATATAACAAAACCCAATTATTTGAAT